TTCTGAACATGAGCCGTCATCCCGGCCCTGACCCTGGTCCGCCGACAACTGAAGGATGCCACCCGCCAGTCAGGTTCCAAGGGCCATGTTTTTTGTTTGTAATACGGCCCACAGCCGGCCGTCTGCCGTCCGCCACTTCTCGACAGTCGGTCTGCCTCTCGTCATCTTCCTTCCCATGGCGCTCATCCCAAGCCTCTGGACCCCGTTGATTCCCACCTGGGCGGCGTGTGGCTATTCTTCCCCGATGGAGCGCCCCATGCCCTTGCGGTCAGCAGCAGTGAGAGGTTTTCTTCTTCTTTGCCGCCTTCTGCTTTTTGCCTACCGTCGTTTTTGCGCGTACGTTGTATTGTCTTTTGCGTGCGTCGTCGTGGCCCTTGCCTCTTTGGGCATGTTTTCTTGTCTTCCCGCGGTGGCTCTTTCCTCACAGCCTCCCTCGGTTTCTTTCCTGCCTATTTCGCCTGTCCATGCATCACGTAGCTGGCTTGTACTTTGTACCTTCCCTCTCGTTTTCTCTTCTTGTGGCCACTGCTGTTCTCTCGTTTCTCTATTTTACCCTCCTTGTTCCCCTTCTTCCGCCAGCTCCGGTCCCACGCCGGTTTGTTTTGGTTGACGATCTCCAGCACAAGGTCCCCATAAAAATACACCGGAGACAAACAGTCGCCGGCACCAGAACGGTCAAAGGAAGGTCTGGACTGGCCCTGTCGCCATATTTGGTTATGTGTGGCCATTGGACTGGAAAGCTCTTTCCGTGTCTATCTGTTTGCCATGTGTGTTTTGTATACCTCTTTCCTCTTTTGTTGACTCTGACCAATTGCGCTTAGCTTTTACTTCTTTCCAAATCCACCCATTTTCTCTCCCCCTCCTCTTCCTCTCTCTTCTCTTTTACTTTGTACTTTTTTTTCTCTCCAACATCATCGTCCACAGCCAGTCGTTGCTGTCACACCTCATCACCCGCATCCCCCCATCCTCCCATCAGCATCCTGCAGGACAACCGCTGGCCAGTCATCGTGGGCACCCAATCTCGACTCGCTTGCCCGCCTTTTGTGGCTCACGTGGGGCGCAAAAAGCACAAACAAGCAACACAGCTCCTGGCAGTCGCCCACAGAGTCTTTACAGCAAACACTGCCAACAACCCCCACGCATTGCTACCGGTCGCCGCCGACAAACAAGAGACGACTCGAGCCAGAACACCAACCGAAACCCGCTGCAACACCTGGCTGCTTTTTGTGGCTTGTGCGCTTCAACGGGTCGTCAGAGAAGGTCTGACCTGCATCCGCCCATCATTCCGGTCTCTCGCCCTGGCCAACGCAGCAAATGCATACGACCCTCAGTTCGTCACGCGCGCTTCGAATTCAAATGGGCCTGAAGCGAGTAGCCAAGCAATCGACGACTCAATAAAAGGAGAAGAGCAAAAGACAGACGAAGAAAAAAAAAAGAAAGAAAAACAGAGCAGCAACGTACATAGAGGGCAAGCAAGTATAGCGGCTGCCCGACGACTTACACGTGGTCTGGCATCATTCCAAAGACTCCAAGTCACTTTTTTGGCTCGCTTTCCTACCCTGGACGTTTCTGGCGAACCACGTATCAAAACGTATCAAACGCTGGAGGAGACCGCCTCATCAAACGAACGAACCCAATCCCATATCCCGTTGCGACGTATCCGCTTTGCATTCCCTTTACGCTGCCGCCCTCGACGACTCATCGCTCGACGACAACGGAACGCCTCTTTCAACGGTTTGATGTTTGTGGCTGTCTTGAACCACCCCCCCGCAAACGGCCCGCTGCCATCGCAACTTTCTATAAGACGCAGGCACCGTACGAACTCTGGGGTTGGTAGTGTCTTTTCTTCGTTGCTTTGCGCGCACGTCTTTCTTTGCTGCCTTAGACTGCTTTCCACTTGTTCCTTTGGTTTCCATTTCTCGTTCAAGACGACCTTGGCTATTTTGCCGGCTGCACCATCAACAACCACCAAACAACCAACAATCAACAAACCAGCTTAACACTGAAAGACCAAACCCCGCGTCTCGGGCAATTTTCTATTGCTTTATGAACCGCCTCTTTATATTGACTCTTATTTGACCGCTGTATTGACGGGTGGTATATTGGTCTTGTTGGGTTTGGGGGCCAAGCCCGTTATTGTTCGGTCTACGACTCATTGACGTTTCCCCTGCCGTGGTTGTTCATCCAACGCCTCGGGCGCAGCTACTTGCCTGCTACGAGGCAATACAAATAAAACACCACCACCCTCACGACCCATCACACCAACTGCAGAAAATAGTCAACAAACACACGCGACCTCTTTACTCACACAACGCGCACACGCAGCAGCCGACGCTGCTTGTTGCTGCTCTATCATGCCGGCCAAGCTCAAACCCCTGGTTCTCCCCCAGCTGGTGGAGGGGCGCAAACGTCTGGAAGATGGACAGTATGCAACCGCGGAGATGGTCGACGGCGGTATAACTGCCAAAGCCAGCGCCAACAACACCAACAACGCCAACGGTGGCCTGTTCCTTGTCGACAACGCGTCCATGTCGGACATCACCTCGCCTGCCACGCCCACCTTCTCACACCGCAGCGGTGGCCTCGGCCACCTGCGCTACTCAAGCTCGACTTCGTCGCTCGATCTGCCACTATCGATTCCGTCACCCTCCGTCTCTGAATGTCCCGCGTCACCGAACCCTGCCACGGGCCTTGCTGCTGTTGTCGCTGCGGCTAGTGCGGCGACTCTGGCTGGGAGCCCCCCCGTGAAGCGGCCGCTGCCGGGCGTGAAAGAGGAGCATCTGTTGGAGCGTGTTGCCGAGGAGCACGAGTATGGCGATAGCTTCACATTATCTCACCGCACTTCGCATCTCTACCGCTGCTTGTGTGACGAGCCCTGTTCACATGGCCGTGACGACATTTCCTATGACCAGCAAGACTTCATCTACGACCTCGGCTTTGTCAGTGACTCAGAGGCCGCCGCCAACGAGCCCTCTGTTCAGCGACACCGCCACCGTGCCAGCAGCACCGCTTCGGTCATGTCGCGTGCATCCAATGCAACACACGACTCGGCCTTTTCCGGTCTCACCCTCCGCTTCGGCTCGCACATCCACGCACTGTCCCGGTGGCGCAGCAAGTCGCATACTGCCCGGCACAACTACGCGAATCTCATGGCCGCTCCGGCTTCTGAACCGTCGCTGTCTCGCCAACCCTCTAGTCGGTCGTCTTCTCTGTCGGCCGGCCAGCCGGCCCCGGTCCTCGACCCAGCGCCAATCCTAACTCCTGCTCTTTCTTCCTACTACGGTAGCACAGAGAGCATCGAGCACTTTCCGACCTCCAGCGGAGCACACGAGGAGCCGGAGGACGATTCTCTGTCGAGCCTCGAGCGCGACCGCACCAAGGCCGCCACGCCTTTGCTGCCACCGTTAATGACCGAGAGCAGTGCCATACAGCGCCAGCAACCTGTTTCGCCCCTGCCGCCTCCGTCGCTGCAGACCTCGCCACTTCAGTCGCCCGCCGTCGCGTCTTCCGTGACCTCGCCTGCCGGCGTCGATGGTCTTTCCAGTTTTCCCATTACCAGCCCTGTTGCGGACGCAGGCATCCCGGCCATGTCCTTGTCGCCGCTATCGCCAACAGCGCCTACAGGCCTCGGGATCAGTGTTGCAGCCACAGCCCCCACGTCTCCGGCCGAAGTAATGCAGCCTCCGCCTCTGCGCCGCCAATTCTCCACGGCCTCGTTCTACGTACCCTTTGGTGCGAGCAACGTACATAATGCGTCAGCCTCGGCGGTTACACCAGCGACGTCTGCGCCGATCTCAGTCCCGGTGTCTGTTGCGCAGGAGCCACACGACAAGTGGTGCGATCGTCTGGGTCACGCTAACTACACGATCCTACCCAAGCCGTACCACTTGGCTGAGGACGACACGACCGACACCCAGGCCTTGCATGCGCTGTGCGAGGACTGGGCGCAGGCGCGCATCAACTACGCCAAGCACCTTGTGCGCACGGGCGAGCACTACGGCACGACGTCCAACACATACATGCTGACCGAGGCCAAGTGGGCGGAGACGGAGCGTGAGTGGCAGCGCGCCCACCAGGCTGCGACAGTGCATATTACCAATGTCCTGACACGCGCTGGCAGCGATGCCCGCGAGTGCGCAGCGACGCCCGGCATGCTACCGCCTGTTCAGCACCACGACGTGTCGTGCGTGATCCCACAGATCCTGGACAACGCGGAGGGCAAGTTCCCCGGACTCGGCGACGAGGACATTGTTGGCCCCATGGATCGCGTGGAGTACATGGAGCGCAGCGACGGTGTGCCCGGCTTTCCGGGTCCCTCAGGCACGCACGGCGAGAAGCACGCTATGTCGCGGTTTTTGCGCGGTCTGGCTGACCGTGTCCGTCACCGCAAATAATGACACTATGACCCTTACTCGATATCGTCGTTTTCGGCGAGAATGTTTAATAATGACGACAAACCCGAAACTTATACCACAAAATCCAACACGACACAGACGCGAAGGAAAAAAAAATCATGAAAACACACGACTAAACGGTGACGCAGCGGAGGTAATGAATTTGTCACGCGATTGGAGGACAAAAACGAACGAGAAAGAGAGAAGGAGACAGTAGTACGGAGTCGTTGACTGGCCTGCATTTTGGATATGCAAATGGCCCAGGCCCGGCTCTGTTGTCATGAGACCACGCCTCGCGGCAGACCTTTCTTCTGAACAGAAAAAAGGTTGTTGTTTTTTCTGCCCAAGATACCCATTTTTATATAGTATCCCCCCGACATTCCTTTATGAGTAGATAGATTTTTTTTTGTTTCAGTTTTTCCTTTGTATATATTCATACACCATACCCATCACATATAAAGCCGGCGCAGGCAGTGTGTCTTCTTAGAAAAAAGATCTTATGCCACTTTTCTCAAAAAAAAATATCAAAATTATTTTAAACATATTTTTTTTTTTCTCGTGTCATTTGCCACTCTCAGCACAATACTTCGTATGCCCTGGATCTGTCTACAACCAATATTTCCCCCACATGGCATACTCAGCCGCGGTCCCGCGGAAGGCAAAGGCCACTTGGGTAATGTCGGCAAACCCTTCTGCCGGTTTGGGCTCCCGGAAGCGCGAGAAGAAGCCGTTGAACGCGATGCGAGGCAGCGCCTCCCGGTTGTCTGGGTTCAGCGCCTTGTTGAGCGCGCGCACCGCGTCGTTGTGCTCGCACGTGGCCGGGCTGGTCGTGAACCACACGCACCGAACGGCCACGCCGGCCTTCTTGGCGAGGTCGACCCAGAGCGCACGTGTCGCCGGATCCGGGTTGGTGTTGTCGACGACGACAGAGGCGCCGCCCTGAAGATGAGCCGCCGCAGCCTTGAGGCACTTTTCTTTTCTGGGGCAGAGGGTGTTGTGTGTTAGACAAGACGGTTTACCAAGGAGACAACATGGTCCCGGGTGCGGGCGGAAGCGGACCTACGTTTTGAGGGTATCCTGGTTGACGCGCTCGTAGCCGAGCGGCGCCAGGTGTGTGCGGAAAAAGGTGCTCTTGCCGGCTCCGGGTGGGCCGCAGAAGACGACCAGTTCTGGGGCGGTGCCCTTGACAAAGGGGCCTGCCGCTGTTGTGGTCGTGGCCGTTGTTGGACTCGGATCCTCGAATGGGTGGTCGTCCAGGTCAAACGTCCGCGTAAACGGCCGCGGCGCCTCGCCCAAAAAGTACTCTTCGGGCGTCTCGAAGCGCACGCCCACGTTGGCGGCCAGGTTGCGGTCGCTGCAGCTGAAGTCTTTGGGGACACTTTTGCCATTGCGCACGGTGGCCGGACGGCCGGCGGCGTCGCCCACAAAGAAGCTGTTGTCAATGTCGATCGTCTTTGCGTCCTGCGTCTGGTCCGCGCCGGCGCCCACCTTGTCCTGTTTGTCCTCGGTGGCGCTCGCGGACTTGTCGCTTTCGTGGCGCGCCATGCGACTCCCCAAGTCTTGTACCATCTCCTCCCACATGCCTGTTCTCGGCTTGCGGAACCGGTCTTTCCCCGTCGCCGCAAACAGCGTCACCGGCAGACCCAGGTCCGTCAGCACCAGCGCACACTTTTTCTTGAAGTCGGCCACCCTGTCTTGTGTATCGTTCTTCTTCTTCTTCGCATCCTTTTTGGGATCCGGGTGCAAGGCCAGGCCGCCCTGGTTGGTAAAGATGATGACCTGGAACCCGTCGTCGTGCAGCGCCCGCAGCCGCTCCGGCACCCGCCGGTCCCACCAGGTCCAGTCGCCCGCGCCCTCGGCGTGCTTCTTGCCCGAGGCGGTCGTGATCAGGGTGGAGTCGAGGTCGAATGCAGCGACTTTGATCGGCGCGATGATAGGCTGTCGTCGTGCCCCGCCCCCGAACGTGGCCACCAGCAGACTGGTGGGCTGGCCCTCGGCCGGAGCCCGCTCCTCCCACGTCACCTGGCTCGGCGGGGGTTTCGGCGGCTTCGGTTTCTGGGAGGCGGGCGTGAAGAAGTTGGCGACGACAGTCTTGGAGACGGAGGCCTGGGTCTTGCGCTTTGTGGGGGGTGGAGAGATGGCTGGGTCGTGGGCGTTGCTGTTGGCGCCGGTGGCCACCAAACTGCCACGGTCGGCAATCTTGCGCTTGGCGGGCGCCGCGGCGGGCGAGGGCATCTTGGAGATGTGTGATTGAGAATGGACGGTGGAGAGGAGCAGCCGTTGCGGAGAAGAGAAAACGATGCGAGCGGCTCGTCGGATGCCGCAATGTAGCATTTACTTGGGGAGCGGAGGAGACGCGGGCCCTTTTGTCGAGGCCGTTTCGAGCATTTATAGTCGTTAGTCATAAGTCATCGAGCAGGCAGAAGCTGGTTGGCCATCGCCGTCGTGATTGGATGTTGTTTTTTTCTGTCTTTTCTATTTCTTTTCGTTCGCTTTTTGCTATCGATGTCGGACAGCGTGTCGCACTTGCCTTTCTGCGACGCGCCCTAGGCACCAGAAAACCATTAAACAGGCGCTGTTAAAAGCGGGGCGCAACGCGTGACCCAGTGACATCTGAAGGTCGAGCTTACTGAGCCTGGCCATTGGGGAAGGAGGCATCGAAACAGCCTTGCGTCTTGTTTTGAATACAAACAAAACGTTTTATACACAACGTATTCACAACTGCAAGGCGGAAGTGCCGCTGTCCGTCGCGGCATGGTGACAGCATAGTCACCTTGTCTTTCCTCGGCTGCCGAGCAGTCGACCGGTGGCTACAGTCGAAATCCTTGGAGCACATATTTTTCGCAATCATGCTGCGAAGATTCGCAGAGTCGCGTCTCATTCTTGACAACTCTCGACGTTAGGTCCTCACTTCTGTCCATCAGATATGCTGGACAAAGACACGGGGACGCTTCTCTGGCCCTCAGAAGGTGCAGTCTCCTGGCACACTTCTAGGCCATGTGTCCAGTGTTCGGCCGAGCTCTACCGGAGATGTGCATCCTCTGTCAAGGCGATCTTAGATGCAATATGCAATGGGACAAGTCAAACCGACGGCGCAAGGACACCAGAAGCACGCATATGAAAAGCGAGTCAGTGGTTTGAGGGAGAGTCGAAGCCATTACGACAGTGTCGTCGAGCAAGCACGGTTATGCCAGAAGCGCCGCCAGAGCAAAACCAATGGGACCTGTACAAAACACAGTCATGAGAACAAACGGATACTTAACCACGACATGGGTTGCATTTCCGTCCCTGCCTCCACATCTGGGGTGTAACTACTGACCACTTGCCGTAGCGGTGGTACGGGGCTGGGGTATTTATGGCCCGGGCGGCCCCACACTCGAAGACCAAGAGTATGCCGCGCTACGCTTCTCATCATCCGGGGCGTCTGCCACTAGACCCGACTCGGTCAATGGGCGGCCACGACGACCGCTTATATACTATGCGTGGCTACTCGGCACGGCAGAGGGAGTGGAGGGAGTGGGAGTGGAGGCAAGACGACCAAGAAAAGAAGAAAAGAAAGGAACGGAAAAAATACTCTACTACGTCGATATGAAGATTGTTGGTGCTGGCAGAGCAGCTGAGCAGTGGGACTGTGAGTGACGGTGACTGTTCCGTTTCTTTCCTTCAGTCTTTTACCGTCTTTTGTCTTTCTTTTGTCTTTCTTTCTTGTTTTATTTCGTTTATCACCTTCGAACCACATCGACCCGGTCAGTTAAGTTCAAACTGGATATTCTCTAGATCCATTCACTTCACTTACATTGTCGTCTCAGACTCTCAGGTTCGACAGAGTGGACGCCTGATATCTCGAAATAAACATCAAGACGACCGCACACAGGGGTGCACGTTGTCGCCATGTGGTTCTTACGGAAGAAAACAGAGGCAGACTCGTCACCATTACCAGCAAACACAAAAAGGGAAACACGACCAGACGCAAGAAGTATGCTCCAATGCACAAAACATGCTAGCGACATCGACCCGGACATCGACCTTGAAAAACAAAACGAAGCAATGCCCCGCCACTCCCTCGCTCGCGCCGAAAAACGTGCGTTGTCCGTCCTGGCGTCTGCCGAAAACGATGGGCGCCAGCTCGACAATGACGACGCTATGGCTATGGCCGCCCTCGAGGACTACAACCGGAACCGCAGCGGCTCGGACGGCTCGGACGGCACCGTCACGGCCACGGAAGGCATCACCGCCGAACCCCTGGCGCTGATGGACCCCGACCACGGCCTCGTCGGCTGGGACTCGCTCGACGACCCGGCCAACCCGCGCAACTTCTCCGCTTGGAAAAAATACTACATCATGACCATGATGGGCATCATCTCGACCCTCAGCCCGCTGGCCTCTTCCATGGTCGCCCCCGGCATCGCTGCAACCATGGCCGAGCTGCACGAGTCCTCGGAGATTGTCGGCTCCTTCATGGTCACCATCTATGTCCTTGGCTACGCCATTGGCCCGCTGTTCTTGGGTCCTCTGAGCGAAGTGTACGGCCGCTACCCTGTCGTCATTCTAGCCACCTGGTTCTTCAACGCCTGGCTGCTCGGTGGCGCCCTCGCGCCCTCGATGCCCGCCCTCATTGTCATGCGACTGTTTGCCGGCATCGGCGGCTCGGCCGTCATGACCATTGCGCCGGCCATGGTGGCGGACCTGTTCCCCGTCGAGAAGCGCGCCTTCACCATGTCCCTCATCACCATGGCCCAGAGCGTCGGCCCTGCCATCGGCCCCATCTGCGGCGGCTTTATCGTCGAGTACCTCAACTGGCGCTGGACCTACTGGCTGCTGTTGATTGTCACCGGCGCCACCAATGCCGGCCTTACTCTGTATATGCCCGAGACGTACGCGCCCCGCGTCCTTCAGAAAAAGGCGGCCCGCATGCGCAAGTCCTCGGGCCGGGCCGACCTCTACCCTCTGCTCAACCGCAAGACGAGTACGCGTGACGTCCTGCTGCGCAGCATCATCCGCCCTATCAAGTTGCTGACGCGCTCGGCCATTGCATCACTGCTGTCCTTTTACATTGCCACCATGTACGGCATGTTGTACCTCATGTTTACCACCATCCCGGCCGTCTTTGGCGATTTGTACGGCTGGAACGTCTCCATCGCCGGTCTCGCCTATGCTCCGTGTACGTTCTCCAAAGACCCAGCAGAATAACCATATTACAATCATAAGAGTGCTGACAGAACCCCAACAGTCGGCATCGGCATGATTGTAAGTACCTCGTCGTTTCGGCATATTGCCCTGTCACCCCTTCCCACCCCCTCCACCCCCAACTAACAGCTTAGCTTGGCCTCGCTCTCATCATGGCCACAAACGACCGCACCATTGCCAAGCTCACAAAACAAAACAATGGCGTCTACGAACCCGAAATGCGCCTGCCCCATTGCGTCTACTACGCCGCCTGCGTCCCCATTTCCTTGTTCTGGTACGGCTGGTCCATCCAGGAACGAGTCCACTGGTCCTGTCCCGTCATCAGCCTCTTGTTCTTTGGTATTGGTATCATTGGCATCTTTATCCCCGTCGTCACCTATTTGGTCGACGCCTTCACGCCCTTTGCCGCCTCGGCCGTCGCCGCCAACCGGACCGCAATGTCTATTATGGGCGCGTTTCTGCCTCTCGCCGGCGCGCCCCTCTATGCCGCCCTCGACTACGGCGTCGGCAACACTGTGCTGGCCGTCATTGCACTGGTGATGACGCCCTTGCCCGTTGTTTTCTACAAGTACGGTGCCACCACCCGGCGGCGGTGGCCGGTGGAGTTGTAAAAACGGCTAATGCTACAGCCCTCTCGCGTCGTGATATACCGCTTCCTCCTAATGTTGCCCCATATTCGTTACTCACGTACATACACACGTAATACAGCATATAGCATTGCATGGTAGAAATAGATGATAGTAGATTGATTACCACAAAAAGTTCATTTCTAATACTGCCAAGTCGCTAAAGGCAGACTAAGAACCTACCTTTTGGGTGATTTTGGAAACAGACAAGAGCACAAAGTAGACCATAGCCACTTGCTACAGTATTTGCTACGCAAAAAAAGGAAGAGACAGCTTTTTCAGTCTCATGTCAACTTGACAGTGGGTTTCGTTTGGGTATGGGATGAGACGTGGTAAATTGCGTTCGTGCTGTTGGGAGACGAACACGCCCCAAAGCGTTTGTCTTACCTGGTCCTCCCCGAAGAGGCGAGGATGCATATCAACCTGTCTTGTTAGTGTAACCAATAATATACGGAAAATGGCAAAAAAAAGAAAAGGGAGGTGTGCATTAGTGTCACAGCGGGTCTCTGCCGGTTTGTGTGACTATTCTTTGTCAGAGGCGATCGCAACGAGTACCCGTGATTGTGTGCTGTAGGCTGCAAGCTTGAGAGGTGTCTGCCAAACGTCGGCGTATAATCGACAACAAATTCACATGTTTCGCCCGTGGTGATAAACAAAAAATATATAAAAGTAGTGACGTGCATCCGCGCGGCCGCGTACGTTCGGAAGTTTATTGGCCGATCCTCACGGCATGGATTGCTGCTGTGCAGGAGCGACAAAAGGTACTTATTTGCTTCGCTTTTTTGGCGTCTGCCGTTTGCCGTTTGCCGTCTACTATGTGCCGTCTGTCATGCATCCATTTTCACAGGCGCGGGGCATGTTGGCTGTGTGTGTTGCGGCTGTATGACAGCTCGTCGGCATGAGGGGCAATGTTGGTTAAAAGTGCGACCAATTGTGACAAACGGGAGAGAACCAACAGGAGCGGCAGAGACAAAACGAGGCTTGCTGGCCACGCCTATGGGTGACACCGGGCGAAAGAAGAGAGAATGAGGATAAGACGATGGGGTGAAAGGGTGGCCCAGAGCCGGCTGTATTGATCTTCACGATGCGGAGGTTTCTGAATCACGACAACGGGCGTTTGTTTGGGATTCTAGAAACTGGCGGTGAGAAGGAGAACCAGAAAAAAATGAACCAAAAAAATGACGTTTATGGCGTGTTATTGTGGGCGATGAAAAGAGTTGGTTTTCCGCAATTTATTGTTTGGCGGCTACGTGCAGGGCGGATTGGGTGGCACAGGTGCGTTTGATTTTGAAAGATTAAGTGAGCCACAGGTGACAGGCAAAAGTGCCTTGGCGACGAGAACGAAAACGACGACTGTGCACTGTGCAAACAGTCTTGACGGACGGAGGGCATATCGAATGGCAATTGGAAATAGAGAAGCTCAATGCGGCGAGCCATTAGGCGAGAAACTGTACACATATTCGGATATTCGTACACATATTCGTACAGTCAAGGGCCATAAAAGACGCGACCAGTGACATGGGGCCGGAAAAGTGCGACGAGGCGGGATAGGGGAGGGGGTTAGAATGTCAAAGGACAGCGAGCGAAAACCAAAACTGGGGGAAGGCGGCAAGCAACGAGAGGCCAGGAAGGTGGTTGGGCTGGGATGCGCGGGAAGAAGCTCTTAAAGAATATTCGCCGAACGCGTGGTTGAACTGGGGCGAGGTACTGGCATTCCATGGGACGAGGTTGAAAATTGATGGAACGACGACTAGGATATAAAAAAAGAACAAAAGCTGCCTTGCTGACATTTGCTGATCCTTGCCGCTGCGGTTTTGCGGTTCTGCGTTTCTGTCTTTCTGTGTGCTGCTCTGATCGGTGCTGCGTTTGTTGATTTTGCTGCTCTGACGTTTGCTTCTTGAATTACTGCTGCTGCTTTCTTTGTCCGCCGTACTATCTGCTTTCATGTCGAAAAGAAATATCGCCCCTTTTATTGCGGATGCCATGGTCCGCTGATCGTGACTTTGAAATCGAAAGAACAGAGTAAGTGGCGAAAAAAAAGAAAAAGAAAACCAGAAAACAGAGAACAGAAAGAAAAAAAACAGAACTGATAACAAATCAAGAAAGGAAACCAAATGCGTCGAAAATAAACCAGGACCACGTGAGAAACCGAAGTTATAAGCGAAGCCGTGAATCTGCCGTTTGCAAGTCGAGGACATGTTATGCCTGGCCGTCTCGTGCCTATTACTCAGTTCCGTATTCAGAGACAAGTACCGCAAATAAGAAACTCGTAAACGCATCCCCGTCTTCGAAAATTTTGATGACAAATTGATCGGAAACCGAGTGTCGGGTAGAAAAAGGAAATAGAAAATAGTACAGTGTGCAAATAAACAAGAGACGAGAATATGATAAAGCGCGTAGTGCAATTGCGTTGTCCAGACAGGTGATGTTTGTTGGACAGGGCTGGGAGTTGGGTTGCGTGAGCCAAATCAGGGCTTACATTCGTGCAATTAAGTTTTTTTTTGGATTATTTTATTCGAAAGCGACACAGCAGTTGATCGGAAACGGAACACTTAAGCCCTGTTGGAGAGCGCAAGAGATGCGTTAGCGCAGATGTTTGACACGTATAACGTTTAAGCGTTCTGGTCGGTGGTGTCGTACCGCTGGCCGTAATCGCGGTCGCGGGGAGCACTGTCGCCGTAGCCGCCCGGGCCGCCGGGAGCAGGGTCGCGAGAGCGGGGACCATCGCGGTCACCACCGCGGTCGTATCCACCACCACGACGGTCTTCGCGACCGCCACCGTAGCCACGGTCACGGTCCTCACGAGGGCCGTAGCGGTCACCGCCGCGGTCACCGCCGCGGCCACCACCGTTGCTGCCACCGTAAGGGTCGTCACGGTCACGACGGTCGTAACCGCCACGGTCATCACGGAAACCACGGTCGCCACCGCGGTCACCACGGTCGTAGCCACGGTCGTAGCCACCACCACGATCGTAGCCGCGGTCGTCACGGTAGCCGCGGTCGTATCCACCGCCGCGCTCTTCGTAGCGACGGTCGTAGCCACGGTACCGGTAAGGGTCGTCACGGCCACCGCCGTAGCCACCACCGTAGCCACCGCCACCACCGCCGCCACCACCACCACGGCGGCGGTCATCACCTCTATCGTAGCGGCCGCCACCACGGGGGTCTATGATGACGAGAATGTTAGTCAAGTGTCGCGTGACAAGACAACAAAACAAGACACGGAAATCAATTCAGAGAGTGCCGGTCACATACCTCTCTTCGGGGGACCGAAGTATTTGCCAGGGGTGGGGGTGCGGGGGCGGGCCCGGCGGGCCTTCTCAATGCTGAGCGAGCGGCCATCGATGACCTCGCCCTGAAGGCCGTCCTTAGCGGCATCGGCCTGCTCCGACGTGACCATCTTGACGAAGCCGAAACCACGCGACTCCTTGCTGTGGGGATCGCGCATGATCTGGCACTTTTCAACCTCGCCGTACTTCTCGAACATGCGCGACACCTCAGCCTCTGACAGGCGCGGGTGGATACCGGTCACGAAAAGGTTGGAGCCGGGGTTGACAGCACCGTCATCATCGGCATCGCCGGAACGCGAGCCGCCATTGTCTTTGGGTCTGCGACGAAGATATCGTTAGACTGAGTGCCGCCGAATGCCATGGAATGGAAAGATGCGGGAAACGTATCGTACCTGTCGCCGGCAGTGCCAGGGGAAGCAGAACGCCGGGGGGCACTCTCCTGGCCCTCGTCGCGACGCGGCGAAGCACTGCGCTGCTCGTCGCGCTCGTACCGAGCACCGTCATCTGGATGGCAGTTAGCATTTGAAGCGTGAGAGACATAATAAGATGAGTGTGATAGAAGACGTGATGCGTCGTCGTTTCGATTTGCAGTGGCGATGTGCCACGCAAGGATCGCGAAAAACGTCCCAAAACAAGAAAAAACAGCCTGCAAAACAAGCCCCAAAAAGGCCACAAAACGCACCTTCGAAGCGCTCACCGTTGGTGGGCTCGTAGTCCATTGCTGTGCTCGCCATGTTGCTCTTGGTGCGATTGATCGTGTGAGTTGTCCTGTTCTTCCTTCGACGATGATGGCGATGGAGGAGAGTATGACAGCAGAAACAAACGCCAAAGGTTGAGGAGGAAGAGCGAAGAGTGAGAAAAGAAGGGAGGCAAAATACTGCGCAGGAAAAGTGGAGACCCCAAAAGAGTGGATTGGGTTAGCCAAAAACAGACCAACAGCACACGGCAAGAGGGCGCCACAGCGAATATTCCGGATGACTGCACTGTTGACGCGCTGTGTCGTATTTGGTGGCTACAACGGCTGAGGCGAGAGTGAGTTGCTTTCTCCTTCCCTACGAAAGAGTTGGGGGCCTGCCTCTCTACAAAACGCGCGTTTGCTCTTGCCTTGTACGTTTTGAGGGGTGGGGGCATTTACAGAAGCTGCGACTGAGGCAAGAAATACTCGCGGGGAAGGCGCGACTGCGTAAAACAGCCGGTTTGCAACTGCCAAACAGGAACTACTATCGTCGGAATAACACAAGATACAAGTTGGTCTGGGGGAAAGCACCACTATCTAGCTTCTGCCGGTTTAGCGGATAATTGTTGGCGTGGGCCTAGCAGTCCACTATAAACCGCTAAAATGCACGAATGTACCTGGACTGACCTAACATGTCCTCCTGGAAGCATTAATTTGGAGGGCATTTCTCCCCTTCACTAGTCGTAGTCGGACCCACGAATGACACATCTGCGTCACCAATGTCTTTCAGTCGTTATATCCTTGACGTAGGACACCACAACCTGCACGCTTCGTGATTGCTCTAGATGTTGTTCCAACCCGTGTTTGGTCGAGAATAACCATCCTTTCAACTTCTGCACCCCTACATAACGCACTTCCCGCCATCTGCCTCGTTGCCGTATTTTGGTTGGACCCAGACAAAGGCACTTGAAAATGACGACGGTGAAGGCATCCCACCTGTCTCGAGACAAGGGATACCGCTGAGAGACCTACCGCGTGTGCGACGCCATGCATCAAGACACAATGGCAGGCAATCTCTCCTTCCCTAGCATATATTTGCTACCAGGCCGCCTCCCGAAAGACGAGCTTGAAAAGCTGCAGAAACAGATCCCATCATTAACGGCCGACACAAGCAAAGCGGACATCTTTTTGGGCACGCTGTCGAACAAAGAGAGAGCTCAGTTTGAGCTGAGGCGCCTCGGCATTGCGACGATTGAACTGCGAAAGCCCGGAAAGAGGGCCAGGACTGCGCCAACGCCGGCTGCTGCCCCTCCGGCTTCAAAACGGAGGAAGCTCGGCGGCCGATCTCCGGTACCGATCGTCATATCGAGCTCGTCGGACGACGACGGCGTCCAGGTTGTAGCACCACCAGAGCCCATTCTGAAAGTAGTCAAGCTTTCTTGGTTTACCGACTCGGTCGCTCGTGGCGAGGTCCTCCCTTTGGACGACGGATACATGGCCTACGAAGGCCGTAGGGTGCAGCCAGAGCCGACGGTAGAGCCGTCCACATTCTCATCCCCAGTGCCAAGGTCGGACGACATCCTGCTGCGCGCACAGGCCGACGCTGTGGCTGCTGGCGGCCACAGCAGCGCGCCTTTCCGGTCGCCACGCAGGACCAAGCTCGGCACCACAGCACCACCGCCGCGGCCGTCATTGATCCGGCAGTCGACGTCGGACGTGGACGAGATGCAAACGCTGCCACCCATCCCCGACTTTTTGCACACCACCTACTCGTGCCAGCGGTCAACGCCCGTGCACTGCCCAAACGACAAATTTGTCGAGACGCTCAAGACCATCCGCGTGGCGAGGCAGCTCACGGGCGACAAGATTGGCATCCGGGCGTACTCGACAGCCATTGCCACGATCGCCGCCTACCCGTACAAGCTGTCCACGCCCCGCGAAGTCAGCCGCCTGCCGGGGTGCGGGCCCAAGACGGCCGAGCTGTTCCGCGAGTTCCAGGCCAATGGTGGACACGTGCGTGAAGCCGAGACCGACGAGACCGACGCGCGGCTAGCGGTCCTACGTCTCTTCTACAACATTTGGGGCGTGGCCGATACCACGGCACGCGCATTCTACAACAAGGGCTGGCGGGACCTCGACGACGTGGTCGAGTACGGCTGGGCGGAGCTGACGCGGGTGCAGCAGATTGGCGTCAAGTACTACGACGAACTGCAGGACCCGCTGACGCGCGTGCAAGTCGAAGCCATTGCCGATCGGGTGTTGCAGCACGCCACCAACCTGCAGGAGGGGTTCCAGATGGTGATTGTGGGCGGCTACCGCCGGGGTAAGGAGCTCAGCGGCGACGTCGACATTCTCATCAGCCACCCAGACGAGGCGGCGACACATCTTTTCATTGGACGGCTTGTTCTGTCGCTTGAGCAGGCCGGCCTGGTAACGCATACCCTGACGCTCAGCACAGCCAACTCGGAGCGCGGCCAAGAGGCGGTGAGCTGGAAAGGGAATGCGCCCAAGCACAACCTCAACTCGCAAGGCGGCGGCGGCGGCGGCGGTGGCGTTGGGTTCGACACACTCGACAAAGCACTGGTGGTCTGGCAGGAGCCGATGGAAACGGAAGACGGGGACAGGGACCCCAAAACAAACGCGGAACCAGCGAAGAGAAAAAACACCAACCCACACCGCCGGGTGGACATTATCGTCTCGCCGTGGAAGACAGTCGGGTGCGCCGTGCTCGGCTGGTCCAGTGGAACGACGTTTCAACGTGACCTGCGGCGGTATTGCAAGTACGAAAAGGGCCTGCGCTTCGACAGCAGCGGCGCGCGCAGCAGAACGGACGGATCGGTGGTGGATTTGGAAGGGTACTATGGGGGCGACCCTGCGCCGGATATGCTGACAGCGGAGCGGCGTGTGTTTGACGCGCTGGGGCTGGAATTTCGTCCGCCGAACGAGCGGTGCACTGGATGATCAGATGATGACTGAGCGGGATGAGCCTGGTGCTGGAAAACATTGCCTAACCTGACCAGGCATTGGACGGGCAGTACGGGTGCGCTGCGATGGCGCCAGGCGTGTCCGTAAGCACGCCATTGGAGTTGCCATTTGCGCCCGTTGTGCTTATGCGGCAATGCCAGCCAACGAGGCTCCAGACGGAGCGAATAAGCACTGTCGATTTAAGGTTTTCGAGTGACACGTTGCCGTAGCCTGGTCATTATCTAGCTTGCCATCACAGCCTTGTCCCTGGCTATCGCGAGATGCTGTATTTAGCATTGATATTTTTCATTCGATCGCATTGCCCCTTTTTCGCTCATTTTTTTCACGTACAGCTTGTGAGACGATACACTTGGCAAACATCGCACACATCTGCCGAACCACACATCTCTCACCCGGAGACTTTTCCTGCCTTGCTGAAAAATCAATGCCAATTTAAACTGGAGCGGCGGAAACACGGAAGTATAAAGAAGGCTTTTGGCTTGTCTCCGCATCCGGGACAGACCCCTGTTACGGTGTTCCATTTTGCTCTGGAACCGCGTGCCGTGAGGAGACAGCGGCAGGAGCACACTGCAAGTCTGGCGGCTTTCAGGGCAATCCCAGAGCACGTCCGTCTCAGTTGCCAACGCCAGATTAGGCAAGAGCAAAAACTGTCCGCCCCGTCGGCGATTCGGGCGAATATATGTCCCTGCTGTAAACGACTGCAAAACAAAGCACCAAGCGATCAGCGACGAGGAACAAACACAATATGAAGCCGTCTGAACATAACGGGCAGAGGAGAGGGCATTCGGGTCTCTAATAAGAGCAAGCTGTCATTCTTATATTATACAGCAAGGCATGAGACAGCCTCGTCGTACACTCGGCGGCGCAACTTTCTAAGAGGCACTTACGCCACCCTGAAGCCTATGCCTGAACCCGTACTACGCGCTACGGGCCATTGGCGGCTCGCTAAATCTCAACCAGCGAATGCCCCGACGCGACCAGGGCGAGCCAGTAGCTCGACCCGTCCCTTTAGGGGTTTGCGAAATCGATGGCCGCACAGACAAGACTTGTTTTCATATTTCGGGGCTCCTTCTCTTCATTCGGCACATGGGGCAAGAGAGCGGATAGACGCCCCTTGTGGCCTCCATGTCGTCGAATTGATCTTCTGTATTAAACAGCCGGCCAGCCCTCCACTCCCTCTAGGCCGAGGTTGACTTCTGCTTCTTGTTTGCTACTCTTTCTTTTTATCTGGTTCTTGGACTTCTTTACCTTTTGCCCATCTTCAGTATTCAACTAGCATCTCGTTTTGTTCTGCAACCCAGCAAGCATTGTACATACGTTCCAAAAGCTGCATCATGTCTCTTACCATCCAAGTCCCGGCCGAATATGGGTAGGTCCTTTCTCGCATTTGTTTACTCGCTCTTGCTTTGTCTGTTTGGCCTCATTCTTGTCGTCCCTGTTTCCCGTTTCCCTGCAACTGCGATTATCGTTACGTTGCACTGCACCAGCTCACACATCTCCAAATAGCTACGTCTTCGGCGCCGCCACGACCATCTTCTTCGTCAACGCCTACCACTCCATATTGACCGGCAGCTACCGCAAGGCCGCCAAGATCCCGTACCCCAACTGCTACGCCAGCGCGGAGCTCGCCCAGAAGGACAACGCCGCCTTCCAGTTTAACTGCGGTATGTCTCTCCGTTTTTGTCCTTCTGCCCTCCGCCAGTCTGCTACCCTGCCACCTTTATTGCTCCCAAAAGGTAGGCTAGGGCTGCGTTGCGTTGCGTCAGTAGCTAACTTAGGTCCCCAAACAGCCCAAAGAGCCCATGCCAACTTCAGTGAGAACCTGCCGACCTTCCTGGGCGCCCTCTTCATCAGTGGCCTCCGGTTCCCCATCCTGAGCGCCAGCGCCGGCGTCGCCTGGGCCATTGCCCGTGTCCTGTACGCTCGCGGCTACGTCAAGAACGGTCCCAAGGGCCGTCACATGTAAGTTCTTCTGTGCCTCCTGTGCCGTATTTACCCTGCGCGCCTGCCTTTGTCCAAAGATCGAGCAGTAGCCGGACTTGTCGAGAACATTTTGCTAATACAACAAGTGGTACCGCTCACTATGTCATCGATGTGGCCTTGAAGCTGGCGTCTGCCTACACGGCCTTCACCTTCATCCAGCCCTTGCTGTAAGCCGCACGCTGTAGCTTGCTGTATGTTCGGCTGGTGGGATTTCTAGTCGAGGCGGTGCTCTCCTACAGAGAGAGCAGCATGTGGTTCTCTTTTGGTAATGCAATCGGAAATTTTCAATTCGGAGTATAAAAACAACAAAAAAAGAGCAATTATAAACACAACATGCACTACTTTGGCAGATGTCGTCGTGTAAGTGAGAGCACGTAAGCATGTTGGCAGTCATCCTGTAAGACGAGCCAAATTCCGTCCGACGACAAGGCGAGGCTGGGCTGCCCCCGCCATTGGGATTGGCGGAGCCCTTCGGAGAGCAGGACATGTGACTTTCGCTCCTTCCTCCCCGTTTCCTCCCCTGTGTCTTTCCCACTAAAATGATAACAGCTGGCTTGTTTGTAGACCCACTTTTAGCTCACCTTGCTGTCTGCCCGAATTTGCTGAGCCACAGGCAGACGCCACTCTGCTACAGCTCTTGGATCCCCTGTAGCGACGGTTGTTGTGTAATTACTACCCCCCTACAAACTACGACTGCATACCACGTTGCTGGCGCCTTCTGTTGACAGTCCCTGTTGACAGCCCCCGCCACCCCTGAAGAGCTGCACCAAGAGGGGCAAGAGACACCAACACAGAGCTTTATGGCACAGTCCAGCAGAGTCCAGCCCAGAAGACCAAATTGGCCTCGACCGCCCAACAAGGGAAGGAACCCACTCCACACACAATATCGCCATCCAACCATCACCGCCGCTGTCGTCGCCGCCTCTCCTCCTCCCCTTTCCTGCTCCCCACGACCCTACTAGACACTTGTCCCATTGCTTCCCAGCAGCCTGTTCCCGGTGCAGTGTCCGTCGTCCATTGCTGCCTACCATTTGCACTTTTCCTGTTTGCTCGCTCGTTGCAGCTGCATCTCGTCTTTTTCTCTGCTCGACTTCTGTCTCCCTTTGCGATTCAAACGAAACTGTGGACGCATCATCGCCTGACATTGTCGCCCGATTCAAGATACCGCGGCTCTCCTACCTGTCTCGTCCTTCGCCTATCGCCTGCCGATATCCCTCTGTCCGGTTGCTCGACACACAAAGCCACACGCCGCGACCGGATTCATCCCTCCCTTTGCCTACCGGAGCGTGAAATAAAGCAAGACTCGCACCGCCCCTTCGCTGAAGATGGACTACGAAGCTCTGAAGGAGCAGTGGAGCGAGGTCGAGGATCGCGATGGTGTCCGCCTGAGCTGGAACGTGTTCCCTAGCACGCGCATGGTGAGTTTGCTACAGCCATGGTGCTGTTTTGATCCGCAGCACCGCCGCCCCTTTGATATTTTATGTGCCGTTGGCTAACCGGCTCGTGCTTTCGTATCGTCTCGCGTACAGGAAGCATCGCGTCTCGTCGTTCCCATTGGCGCCCTCTACACGCCGCTCAAGGAAAAGCCCGACACGCCGCTGCTGCAGTTTGAGCCCGTCACCTGCAAGCAGCCCTGCCGCTCCGTGCTCAACCCCTTCTGGTGAGTGCGATTGGCAACGCAACGAGTGGGCATGGAGGAATGATGCTAACCCCAAACCCAATCTCAACAGCCAAGTCGACGTGCGTGCCCGCCTCTGGGTCTGTCCCTTTTGTCTGTCGCGCAACCCGCTGCCGCCGCACTACAAGGACATCACTGCCAACGCCATCCCGCCCGAGCTGCACCCGTCCAACACTACCATCGAGTACCGGCTGTCGCGCCCAGCCCAGAACCCGCCCATCTTCCTCTATGTTGTTGACATGTGCCAGGAGGAGGACAGCTTGGCGGCCCTCAAGGAGTCGCTGGTCATGAGCCTGAGCCTGCTGCCTGAGAACGCCCTTGTCGGCCTCATCACCTTTGGCACCATGGTACGTTGTTTTGAGTCAATAACGAGTGCTTTTTATTTGGGAGGGGGGCCGCCCTTATGCTAACACCACCCTCCACCCCAGACCCAAGTCCACGAGATCGGTTACGCCGAGTGCGCCAAGTCCTACGTGTTCCGTGGCAGCAAGGAGTACACCCCGAAGCAGGTCCAGGAAATGCTTGGCCTCGGCCAGCCCATCATGCGCCCAGGCATGCAGCCTGGCCGCCCCAACATGCCCCTGGGCCCCGCCGCCCGCTTCCTGCTCCCCGTCCAGCAGGGCGAGTTCCAGCTCACCAAGGCCCTCGAGCAGCTCCAGAAGGACCCTTGGCCCGTCGCCAACGACCGCCGCAGCCTGCGCTGCTCCGGTGTGGCCATCAGCGTCGCCGTCAGCCTGCTCGAGTCCTCCTTCCAGAACTCGGGCGCCCGCGTCATGGTCTTTACCGGTGGCCCGGCCACCGAGGGCCCCGGCATGGTCGTCGGCCCCGAGCTGCGTGAGCCCATCCGCTCGCACCACGACATCGACCGCGACAGCGCCAAGAACTACAAGAAGGCCCTCAAGTTCTACGACAACCTGGCCAAGCGCACCGCCCACAACGGCCACATCATCGACGTCTTCGCCGGCTGTCTGGACCAGGTCGGTCTGCTCGAAATGAAGGGGCTGAGCAACTCCACGGGTGGCCACATGATCCTGACGGACAGCTTCACGTCCGCCATGTTCAAGCAGTCGTTTGTGCGCGTATTTGAAAAGGACGGCGACGACAACCTGCTCATGGGCTTCAACGCGGTCCTCGAGGTGCTGACCACAAAGGAGCTCAAGGTCACTGGCCTCATCGGCCACGGTGTGTCCCTCAACAAGAAGTCGACGTCGGTGGGCGAGACGGAGATCGGCATGGGCAACACGTGCGCATGGAAGATGTGCGGCATCGACCCCAGCGCCAGCTACGGCATCTACTTTGAGATTGCCCAGGGCGGCCCGTCCCAGATCCAGCAGGGCCCGCAGAAGGGCATGATGCAGTTCCTGACCTACTACCAGCACTCGTCCGGCCAGTTCCACCTCCGAGTCACCACCATTGCCCGGAATCTCAGCGGGCCGGCCGGCGACCCCACCCTCGCCCACTCGTTCGACCAGGAAGCGGCCGCCGTGCTCATGTCGCGTATTGCCGTCTTCAAGGCCGAGGTCGACGACGGCCCGGATGTCCTGCGCTGGGTCGACCGCATGCTGATCCGCCTGTGCTCGCGCTTCGCCGACTACCGGAAAGACGACCCGTCCTCCTTCCGCCTGGAGAAAAACTTCACTCTCTACCCACAATTCATGTTCCATCTGCGGCGAAGCCAGTTCCTGCAGGTGTTTAACAACTCGCCCGATGAGACCGCGTTCTATCGGCACGTGCTGAACCATGAGGACGTCAGCAATTCACTGGTCATGATCCAGCCCACCCTGGATTCGTACACCTTTGATCAGGACGGCGGCCTGCCCGTGCTCCTGGACTCGGCCTCCATCCAACCCACCCACATCCTCCTCCTCGACACCTTCTTCCACATCCTCATCTTCCACGGCGAGACCGTCGCCCAGTGGCGGAAAGCCGGGTACCAGAACCAGGAGGGCTACGAGAACTTTGCCGCATTACTGGAGCAGCCAAAGGAAGACGCAAGAGTATGTTGCCCTGCCCTTGATTTGTAACGTTGTTTTTAATTCCGCTGTGCCATGTCTTCTAACTCCCCACAGGACCTCATTACGGATCGTTTCCCTCTGCCTCGGTTCATTGTTTGTGACGCTGGTGGCTCGCAGGCCCGTTTCCTGTTGTCCAAGCTGAACCCGTCGACGACACACACTACGGGTGCTTATGGTGGCGTCGGCGCCCAGACAGCGCAGACCATCTTCACCGACGACGTGTCGCTGCAGACCTTTATGGACCATTTGATGAAGCTGGCTGTGAGCGGCACGAACTGATGACACTTGGCGGTTTGTATAGAGAAGTGTTGCTTGTGTTTTCGTTTTCATTTTTTCGTCCTGTAGCCTCCTTTGTAGAAGTCGGGAAAAAAAAATAAGCGGGAGGATTAATTTTGTTTCATTCATCATACGAGTTGCCTTCGTATTTCAAGCCTTTTAAAAATGAAGCTCTTGTAGAGGGAGTATGGCCGCACAGAAGTGTTACATCCGCTTCGGATCTGATACGTTCATGTTAGCGTGTCATTTCATAAGCAACGCCACATGTGGCTACAAGAAGCAGTATTGTTCCTCATTGGCTGGTTTGGCAAAGGTCAAAAATTATTGTACCCCACTCAGCCCTGAAGACCGCACAGAATTTTTTTCCTGCGCCCTTGTTCTCTGTGCCAGATTTGCCTACTGGGCGACGCAACAGCCAGGGCCCCACTGTTTTCCTCAAATCGCAAGCACCGGACGGATTTTTTGGGAGGGCAGCAGCCTTTTTGGCAGTAATTTTTTTCCCCCTGGTCCTCACCACCCCCGTTTCGATTTGAGGATTTTACAGTCTCCTCGTTCTTTTTCGTTGTCGACCATCCCGCAAAACGGCTCTTCTTCACCTTCCCACGATAATCATCACACCTGCCAGAGTGCATTTTTTTCGTTACAACAAACCGTCAAAATGCGTACGTCCAGCCCAATCCTTGCTTCCTCTCCCGATTTCGGTCCTGTCGTCGATCCATGTCGACCTTTAATCGTCGACGACAGTCGATGTTGTCATCCAATTGCGAGCGTCTTCTAACAATATGCAGCGCCGAAGGTCGACCCCAACGAGATCAAGATCATGTATGCACCGCTCCCTGCCTCCCACCTCCTTCCAGCGACAAGCCGTCTTGTCGACGATTTCCCCACGACTATCCGCGACGATATTGAAAAGAGAGAGCGAGAAAGAGAAAACAAAGACTGGGAATACTAACGTTTGCGAATTAGCCACCTGAGAGCGACGGGTGGTGAGGTCGGCGCCTCCTCGGCGCTGGCTCCCAAGATCGGTCCTCTGGGTCTGTCCCCCAAGAAGGTCGGCGAAGATATCGCCAAGGCCACTGGTGACTGGGTACGTTGACGACGCGATGGAGAGGAAGGAGGCTGCACGAGAACGCGGCATGGTTGCGGTCCGAGTTTTCGACACTTGGAGACAAGCGCAGGGATCGAGATTGAAGATGTGAAGGAGGAGAACCACAACGAAATCAACGGTTCAAAGACTCCAAAAGATACAGTGGCTAACACACACTACAGAAGGGTCTGCGCGTGACCGTCAAGCTCACGATCCAGAACCGGCAAGCCGCTGTGTCGGTTGTCCCGACTGCGTCTTCTCTGATCATCCGCGCGCTGAAGGAGCCCCCACGGGACCGCAAGAAGCAGAAGGACATCAAGCACAACAAGTCGATTCCTCTGGACGAGGTCATCGACATTGCCCGGACAATGCGCTACAAGTCTTTTGCCAAGGAGCTCAAGGGCACTGTCAAGGAGATTCTCGGCACTGCCTTCTCCGTCGGCTGCCAAGTCGACGGCAAGCCGCCACAGGACGTGATCGAGGCCATCGATGCTGGCGAGATTGACATTCCCGAGGAGTAAAGAAGAAAATGACAATACGACAAATTTTCAAGATAAAAAAGGTGGTCGACGACTTTGACTTTTGACGCAGGTGGGGACGGAAACGTTGTGTAACGGGTTTCTTGGCATTCCGAAACAAATGGAAAGGAGTTCAGGATTTTCTCCTTTACCTTGACTCTTCTCGTTGTGTTTTTCTGGGTTTGCTCTTCATCCCCGACCAATTTTCTTCCCTCTTTCTTTACTCTCTCTCTCTCACTCACTCTCCGCCATTCTCCCTCGGCCTACTTATCCCGCTCCTCTTTCCACTCTCTCGCCGAAAGGCAGGCACTTCTCCCGAACCTCTTCGATTCATCCGCCCACCAAAACAGAAACGACGAAACGACGACAAACAGGAGACATCAGCTTCGCTTTTCGGCAGTAGGAAATTTTTATACCGGATTTCAATGTTATTTTACCATACCAGCAAACAGAAAAGGAAGTTAAAAGGAAAGGAAAGGAGCAACTACGAAAAACGAGACAAGATACAAACAAAAAAAGTGCAAAAACAGCTTTTTCTAATACAGGTTCTCTCGGTGATTCTGCGATATCCGATGTTTCTTCGACAAACGCATTCCCTTTAGGTTTAAAGTGGGACGGACCGGACAAAGCAAAGCGATGGAAGGTGGGATACGATCATCGAGACAGGAGTTGAAAACGGGCATTGGCGACTGCACTTTGATGCTGTTATTTCAAGCTCTCTTGTCTCGACATGTCCTTGTCTTTTTCCTGACGGCATCCGCTCATGCCATTGCTTCTCTCCGTCTCAAAACCAACACCCCCCATGGTGCCCCTTTTCTGCGCCCATCTGCGTTACTCCTGGTCTACACTCTGAATTACGCCGCGCTCCCATGGTGTTTTTCAATTTTGGTACTTAGGAAGATTGAAGCGTCCTATTACTCACCGCGGCTTTCTGTGTAAAGAAGTGAAAGTTGAGGTCCATCATCCAGGACAACATTTCTTTTTTCGGAGGCACCCTTCTTGTCTCAAATTGTTTGCCGCCTTTCTCACCCACGTAGCTCTTGGGCCGTCAGCCTTGTGCGCCTGTCGTTGTTAATTACGTCGTAAAAAGGCCGTCTCGTAGGGATTTGACTGTATGCTTCTGCAAGTATGGTTTGACAAGGCCAACTCAGACGTAGCGTACCACACAACCTTGCGTGTATCAACAGGTTGGTAGCTGGTGGCAAAGTGGGTGCCTTTTGATTGTCTTCCCGCGCATCAGTCGCACCGCCTCGTCATGTCTTGTCCTTTTCTATCAGACGTAGGCTTGGCCGTAAAAGGCGAGTGTTGTTCACTCAGCGTTGCACCGAGCTCCCCGGCTGTTTTGAATTACATCGTCGTCATTGCTGCCAGACGGCTCATGGTCTTGTCAATGACTGGTGCCCGACATGGCTGCCATTCGCTCTCCGGCATCTTATATGCAGAGACGCGTTGTTTTTCAAGACCTGTCACCCAGTCACATAGTTATGCTCTTTGCGCCTTCACCACTGTTTCGTTCACACCTTATTTATAATTTACACATCCTCCCACACACTCTCGTCCAAACACGTAAATATGCAGCTGTGCCTCAACAACGCTCGGGACGCAAAAGCCTGGCAGTGGCGGCGTCTTGTTTACGATGACATGGGAAGAGAACGTAGTGGTGTTCCCGATAGCACATCCCATCTCACACTAGGCCTCTCTGCCCAACCAGTTCCTTCGGAGCAAATAAATAAGATGCTCTACTCATATGCAGTCGCACCACACAAACACGCTCCCACTCCCAATTCGCCGCATCCCACACCCCCCTTGGCCCAAATTAACCGTCCCGCCTCCATCGCATTTCAAGCAGACGGCAGCCCATGGGGTCAGATGTAGGTAAGTGGGTGTCATTATCAGACAGCGACAGCAAACTATGTTCTGTGAGCAAGGGACTGGCAGAGGGGTCGTGTTGATGCATCGATGCTAGCTGGAAAGACAAGATAGATCGACCGAAGCCGTTGGTCTGGGGGGAGCCAAGACCGAGTTGGAAACAGTAGCCGACAGTGGACAATGGGACCGCCGGTTGAGCTGCAGAGGCAGCCATGAAAAGAAGATATCAGGGACACACGAAAGAGGCACAAGGAAACGGCACGGGAAGTGGAGGGTTGGAGGGGGCCACGGGCGGCCGCACCTTTGGCGAGCAGCCCGTGCTGTTTTATCTACCCGTGTTGGCGATCAGGCTTGCTCCACGATATTATGCGTTTCCGCTTTGTCGGCTTGCCTCTTTATATCTTCCCTCTTCCTTTACTCGCTCCTTTATGGGTGGGGGGGATTCGACACGCACATGTTGCCCTCGTGCCTTATTTACAAAAACTGTAGCACGAAACGGGCCCATGATACGAAGCAAAGAAGACACGCCTTCAATCTGCAGGTATGATTTCGCCTCGTATGCGGTGAGGACATGGCAGTTCAGCTCCCCCACTTCAAAAGGTCCTATCTCTCTCTGTTTTCTACATGTCTCGCTTTTTTATGTATATTTCTCGATTTGACTCGATTTGGATTGGTCTCCTTTTCCACCGAAAAGATTTGCTTATTTGGATCCTCGACTTTGTCAAGTGTATGGTCGTCGGTCCAGAATAGAGTCGCTCGCCAAAGTAAAACAACATCTCTGGTGATGAAGACGAAGGTAGTACGCCGTATTGCCAAAACATCTTGAAGAAAGGACGGAAGCGTCCGTCGAAAGTCGTAAAGCGTATCAAAAGATGATGAAAGAGAGATCCATGGTAGCAAAAACGGGGGTGAGGATGGCAGAATGGCGGTGTCGCCAGTGTCGTACAGAAATCCCTTGCTCCGTTCTTCAAGTCAACCAGATCAGCCGCTTGCCGGCTGCTGAGACAGGCTGCTGAGACCCCATGTACATACATGCCGCGGATCTTCACTTTACCACTGCCCCCAGTATGTGACGAAAAGACAAGCTCAGGCTTTGTCGTCTCTCACTTGCAGCACGAGAAGGCGGAGCTGAGAATACTTACTTATTCCCTCAGCTTTCCTATTTTTATTTTTATTTTATTTTATTTTATTTGTTAGGTCTTTTTCTCCCTCGGTTGTACGAGATGTCAGATGCGCGCCCCGACTTGCGCAATGATCTGCACCATTCACGTCGTGCTGTGTTTGCCTCATAAACAGCGAATACGTGCATATTTTTCTGTCAGATCGAGATGCACAATGTATGGAGAGACAGACGACCGCTGAGAACAATGCTGGGTTGCGCACTTTGGGAGCGTACAAAGCATGTACATTGTCCTGGGATCCAACCTTTCCTTCCGTTACCGCCACGGAACAATGTACGGGTTTGTCGCTCTTGCTGCCCTGCGCCCGATTTACAGAAGCCCTTCCGCCACAATGAGGGAAGGAACTGCAGGATATTACGACGTACGCGAGGGAAAGTAGGCAGTTGGAAGCGAGAAGGAGCGATGAGGCAAGAGGAGGCAAGGCCGTACGCGTCACACAAAGTGTATCTTGGAAACAACAACGCGAGACACAAAGAAAGACAGAGACCAGAATACGCCGAGAGAAAAGACAACAAAATATAGTTGTGGCGGTTCTGCGACTATTCAGCGGCGACCATCCTCCTCGGCGAGCCCCACACAGCGAAGCGCACTCCTGGGCAGACCGGCACACTTGTTCCATTTTGGGAGAAAAAGTGTGCCTCTCATGGCGAGGTGCCTCTCAAACTGACGAGTCCCCAGAGCCAATTGTGTCTTCTGCGTCGTCTCTCGGCATCGCGTCCTGGAAGGCTCAGGCGCGCCGGGCGTCGTTTCGATTCTGTGGGGTTGTGTTATTTCTTCGTCGTCGTATCTCGTCTTTTTGTTTATTTCCATATCCTTTTCGACAAGACACTCGACAGTCCCTGCATCCGCCACTCGCTTTCCTGGTGTCGTGTACCTTTTTGTATGTGAGCCTTTGCTCCTTTCGTCCTTGGACCACTCGCCTCCGTGCCACGGATGGGAAGTATGCAGTATTACTTCTCGTGGTTGTCTCTCGAAGTACGAGGTACCTTTTTAATTTGCTCTCCCCTCGCACATCTTTTCAATCAGTATTCCTCGTATGTGTACCTCTTGCTGTCAACAACGATTCTCCAAAGCACAAAAAACACTGTCAATAAGCTTCTCCACACTTGTTCCCTGACGATTCTTTCCATAGCAGGGTTGCAATGTACAGAATATGGGGCAGCGTTTGGCACGGAGACCGGAGCACAGAACAGCGCTAAAGCACGACTGCTGCCACCCTCTCATGCAGTGTGGCACACCGCAGACTGCAAGCCCTGGTCCGGCGTTGCGCAAAACCCCTGCAAACCAGCATTCGTCGCAGGCACTGCACAAGGGGACCAGAAAACAAGAAACGCCAACATACGGCAGCGTACCGAACGACGGTTGACTCAGGCGGTTTGGGTGGCGCTGGGCGGCACCAGACCCCGCTAAGAACCGCTGTGGAACAAATGGCCTCGCGCTATATTTTGCCGTCAGCAGGGCGATCTTAGGACAGCTTTGCGTGGGTCAAACGTGCACTGCAGGTGCATTCTTAGCTTCTTAGCGGTGTGGTGGGGGGCATGAAATAAGGGTTTGCTCATGACGTCGCTGCTCTCACCGACTATGACTACTCCGCAGGCGTTGCGTATATCAGACACAAAGGGCGCAGTATCTACTTTTCAAGCTTCCATTCCTCACACCGGTTGTCAACCACCACACATCAGCAGGTTTTCCATATTGACACGGCCTGAAGAAACTGGCTATGCATTTAAAGATGCCGAGCTTTGATCCGGGTATGTTTTGGGGCGAGTCTTGCCACAAAGTACAGTACAGAGTACGTTTTACAGCTGCCGTACGAAATACAGATATCCACTACGAAGTACGGAGTAATTACGTAGCGTATTTCCATCGCGCTTCCAAGCGCAGCCCACCGGTTGGTTTCCAGCGACCGCAACCGTCGCTAACAAGCGCAAGCGCACGTTGTCGTGGACGGTATTTTAGTGCCTGTAGTACGACATGTCAATTCAATGTCTCAACTTGATTCGAGCTCGCTCGCTCATATGCACGCATCTGTCCGCTTTCTTCGTCGTCAATCTCATTCGGAGCCCTGCCTTGTCAAAACCGACCTCCTTCTCTGGCTCACCGTCAGGCCCATCTGTATCTTACCAGCTCAACCAAAGACTGTTTGCATCGTCTGCACCGACCTCTTGCGATCCACAGATCATATATCCATGGCGAGAAGTGGATTGGGCAGGCTCAATGGGGCATGGACTTGCACTTGGATGGGCACGCAGAGCAAGGGGTTGCCTGGCAGTCTGCCCACCGAAGCAGGAAATCAGAGCGCCAAGGAACCATGGAAACTTTCACTCAACGCACCACCACCGTATGGATGAGCGCCAATCCAGCACACTCGTCACAGCGCTCAAGTGACTGACGTTGTGCCCAACACCCATAAACACACACATTGTCAGTCGTAATCCGACGTATCAAATACCTCTGCCCCAGCTTCACATACGGAGCCCCGTTGTCTGTCTCTCATTCCTGCTCTCCTTCATTCGCCCATCCATGCAAATCCTCCACTACCCTGGTCCACTCCCCCACCAGCCATCCAGCACAGGTCGTGCTTTCTATTTTACCGCACCCCCCCTTCCTTTTCTAAATGTGAGGTTTCTCTCTTTGAATACGACCGTTAACTATCTTCATGAAAGGGCGGACAGAAGGTGTACGGCGTACAAGGAATTCATAGTCGCTCCTTCTGTCAGTGCTTGCTCTCGTGTGGAAATCGCCACTGCCCAAATGAAAGTAAACTGTGACAGACCACCACTTGATAGGCGACGAGGAAGGAAGGAACACCATTCGGGACCTATTCTCGAAACAGTAGGGACAAGCCGACAAGCAAACAAATTGCTCGAGCGAGCTCGAAATCTACGGATTAAGAGAAGCACGCCTGTCTGGGGATGGAAACAGTCTGAAGGGATCTATTCTTGGCTCGGCAGGCACCTGCGGCGTTTTCTTCTTTTTTCTTGCGGCGAAAGTCGCCCTTTCCCGTTTGTCCTGGAGCCAAGCACCTCGACGTAGTCTGCATTTGCTCCTTCCCGGATCATCCATGCCTCGTCTCTCATTCAGGCTCTCGCCAACATTTTTCATCCCTTGATCCTTCCTTGTTGGGCCTACCTGTCACTCCCTCCCTCGACCAGCCCAGCCCTGCCCTGTCCGCAATTGGCCTGCTGTCCTTTGTTAATTCAGGGCTTCCAAGCGGGCTCTAGCGTTTCTGCATCAAGCAAAGCGCCTTCCTCGTTCACCAGCTGCCCTCCCCCCCCCTCTTTCCCTCCAAACCTGCTGTTTTTTTTTTAGCGGCAGCCCCAGTGTAACTAAAAGGTCCGCTCAATGCTTTGTTAGGTGGACACACTAGTGGACTGAGCATGACGGTGGTCAAAACTTGCACTTTTGGGGAAGGCACGTCAACCACACCTTGTCCATCTTCGGTCGTATTGTTCTTTTCCTTCAACTCGCATCGCATTGTTTTGTGTCCTGTCGATTTCGCAATTTGCGTTTTCGCCCCTTTCCCTTCAATTGTCTCGCCCATCGCATCGTTTGTTTTTGATCGTTTCGTCGACTCGGAGTTTCGGTTCCCGTTGATCGCGAGGGATCCTCTCTCGCATCCCCTCCATTCTTTTCTCCATCCATCGCCACGCTTCGTTGCTATTACGTCCATACTTCTTATGTCTCTGCCTTTTTCACTTCTCCATCCCAGCCTCTACGGCTAGGGTCTCGAGAGACCGATACCGACGTCGAGCTCGGCTCTCGATAGCGATCGCGGCGCCGCAGGAAGCGGCAGCGCCGATCAACGGCAAACGACACGGAGCCGAAACGAACAGACATTTGTTGTACTGACGACCATATTGACGACCATACTGACGACCATACTGACGACCATAACGACCACGGCAGCCGCAGCTATCACCAAAGTGGCAGCAGGCGTTGCAAATTTACCGCACCCCTCGCCGGCTTCAGTCATTCCCGCCGTCTTCTTCCTCTCCCCGTCCCGACGTCGTCTTTGCCCCCGGCCGCCATGGAGCAACCGGTTATTCAGATGCACCAGCAGCCGGTGCCGTCTCGACGACGGTTCGAACCTCTGATGCCATTCCACGCCCACCTCCGACCCGGACAGTTTGCCGCCCTCCAACAGCAACTCGACCTCCAGCAGCAACACCAACACCAACATCATCCGCAAACACACCAGCAACATCCTTTCCCAACCCACAACCAGTACCTATCCCAGAGCCGCGCCGTACGGTCACAACAAGGACAGCAAGCAGGGCCCTCCGGTCCTGCCCAGACCTTTCCCATTCGAAGCTCGCACCCCGCCAGTCCCTCGACCAACGCACAGCCAGGCCAGCTGCTGAATGCACAGCTTCACGGACAGAATCGGCATCCGTTTGCGTCGTCATTGACCGTCAACCATGATCCGGAACACCATTTACGTCGAAAAACGCCCAACGGAACGATCGATGCCGGCTACGACGGCTCTCCAGTTGGTCTCGCAACCGGCCCTCCGCCTTCCAAGCAATTGGCTCTTCCCGCGACGCCTGCCATATTCCCAACACCGTTCGTCCAACAGTCAGGATCGGCTCCGGACGTACAATCGCAGCAGGGCTTCTCACGGACGCCAGCAGCAGCAGCAGCCTTCCTGGGTCAGACTGGGGAAATCCAACAACTTTCTGCGCCTGTCGCTGGTCGGCAGTTTCTGGTAGGGAACAATACAACACCACTCGCCACCGCCGTTGCGACCGCCGCGTCAGCAAATTTCGACAATGCAATGGTCAATCAGGCCGCCCAGATACAACCAGGACTGTCGTTCGCTCAGCAGCTTCCAAACAATGGCGGCTTCAACCCAATCAACAACCCCACCATGCAGCCTGTCTTTGCACCGGCATATCAGCCAACACCCGGACCGACGTCGTTTAACACATCCAGCTTCGACCGGCAATCCCTTTGGCCTGACAGCGTGCTGCTGCAGGGTTATCAGCCGCATCTTCAGCAGCTGCTGCAACAGCAGCAACTGCAAGCACACATGTTCCCGTTCGCCAACATGAGTAACCTCAACACGGGTGCTGGCAGCCTGAACGGTAACATCGCCACCAATAACAATGGTCTCGTCGGCAACTACGGCTTTGTTCCGCAAAACATTGCATGCGACAGCGCGTTTATATCTGCTGCCCAACCCATGTTTTCTCCACCAGGCCTCAACAATGATGGTATGCAGCAAACGGCCATGCCCGGACAGCAAGCTGCGTTCCAGCTTTCTTCGTCCGTCCCACAACGGCACTCGGGCATGAACATGCACCCTCTCAGCATGCACGGACAGGAACATATCAGCCTCGAAAACCTCGACACTCGGCCACCTGGCGTCCTGCCCCACTTGATGCATGCTGTGGGGTTGACTCCGGGCTCGGCTCCGCCGATGGGGGCGGATATGCCGGCACACATTAAGGATGCGACCTTGAAATTTGCCGAGGCCACATACGCCAATCTTGTCTTGCATCTTTCACAGACAAAGAAGTCATTCAATGGACGGCCACTTCCCAATCTCCATGCACGACCCAAGCCAGCAGCTGTTTCCAGACTAGAGCAGCTCAAGCAGTTGCAGCTCAAGCACAGACAGGCACAGCAAGTCGAATCGCAAGGTCTGGCATCCGACAATGCCGGCCAAGACCAGTTTGCCGCGGCCAGAGCAGCGATGGGCGGGAACCAGATGCAGAACTTCCGGTCCCCTATGCGTACACCGTACGGTGACCGGAACGCCCAAAATCGCAGGGACGCGTTTGACATGCATGCGCCGCTGGTTCTGCAAGCCAGGGACGTGCTCACACTCCTGTCCACAATTTGTGAAGGAAGTGGCTGGAAATGGGTCGAAGGGATGAATCTCGGCGCTTGCCTCCACTATGCTCTGGAGCACTTCGAGCAAGCTTTTGAGTGGTTCAAGAGAGTCTTCGCTCTGCAGCCGACCCATGTCGAAGTGTTGTCCAACATTGCCGCGACCCTCTTCTGCATGGGTCGTCGCGACGAGGCCATCAAATACTGGCTGCGTGCTATCCACTCCAAGCCCAGCTATTTTGACTCCTCTGAGCATCTCATCGGCATCCTCTCCACGGAGCACCGGCACCGCGAGATCGTGGAGATTGTCAACTATGTACAAAACACCCTACGTCTTCCAAACCACAGCGCTGCTACCCCGGCCGATAATTCCTCGACCGGGGGCGGAACCGCAAAGCGGGCCGACCTGGAAAACGACGTCGCTCCTGACGCGGCACCGTCTGCTGCTCGACCGGGCGACTCGTCCGAAACAGCATCTGAAGACATTCCGATGGTGTCCAAGGATACGTCGAGTCCTGACACATCGCAGGCTGGCTTTGGCTCCTGCGGCTACGCCATCCCTGGCCATGACACTGGTCGTATGCTGGGTCTTCTCCACGCCAAGGCTAACAGCCTCTACTTAATGAAGGAGATGGTTGCTGCGTCGGAAGCCTACGAAGAGTGTGTGCTGGTTGGCGTCGGCCGCCATTTCCGCAGTATCCAGAACCTGATCCAGCGAATTCGCACCGCCCTCTCGCCCGAAGCACCTCAATCTAGCCCTCGGTCGTACTTCTCCCGACCATCATCCGGCCCTCCCCTTCTGGCTCCCGAAGTGGCCAAACTCACGGCTCGGCGAACATTTCCATACACCAACGGCCAGTTACCAGGATTGCGTTACGTTTTGGGCTATCAGCACAAAAAGGCTGCCTTGACGGCCACGAGCAATGCCCTACTGTCCATGGCCAAAATTCTACAGGACGGCATGGCAAGTAACGGCTGCCTAGCTCAGGGCTCAAACGGTCAGTCAACAGCAGTCGGCGACATCTTGTCGCTATACTATTTGTCAATGTCCATCCAGGAAAGCCCGTCTACAGCAAACAATGTCGGCATTCTTCTTGCCAGCATTCAGCAAACGACCGCCGCAAAGCCCGCACATGTGCAAAAACAAATCAAACAGATACAGAATGTACCCCAACAGCCACAGCAGCAGCAGCAGCAACAGCAAGTTCAAATTGCACGCAGACACTCACACCAACCGACTGCTGCCAGTACGACACCGACTACGCCCAACGCCATCCCGTCCGGCATTCCCCCGGATAGCAGTCTAGCGCTGGCCTTCACTTACTACAGCTACGGCTTGCAGCTCGATCCAAAGCACGTGCATCTCCACACGAACCTAGGTAGCCTGTTGAAGGATGTCGGGCAGTTGGATCTTGCTATCAAGATGTACGAGCAAGCTGTGGCATGCGACGGCAAATTCGATATTGCTCTCACGAACTTGGCCAATGCTGTGAAGGACCGAGGTCGCTCCGGCGAAGCCATAGCGTACTATCGCCGTGCTGTCGCAGCCAACCCAGAGTTCACCGAGGCCGTCTGTGGTCTGTCCACAGCACTCAATTCGGTCTGTGATTGGGCCGGTCGTGGCGGTGTGGTGCTCTACGGTGGCCGTTACGACCGCTGGCATGTCGACGATGAAGGGATGCTGCAAGATGTCCGCCAATATGGCCGCGGCAGTGGTCTCATGAAACGCGTCGTGGACATTGTGGCTCGCCAGCTCAACGAGGCTTCCTTGTGGGGTCGCGGTGTCCTTCACGAGAGCTCTGTCGCCATGCTCGCCTGCCAAATGAAGGAGGCCATGGGCACAGCGGACCGAAACACAACGGTCAAGGGTGACGCCGTTGATGTCACAGCTGAGCTGCAAAAGTGGGCCGGCCAGCCCTGGGAGGGCTCGCGTGTGCTTCGTCTAATCGAGCGAGCCACGCGAGTCGTCATGTACCGCTGGTACTGCGATCGTTACATTCGCGGCAAAGAATCACCCAATGGATACTCGAGGCCTCGGCCACCCGCGAGCCTTGCCGTGCCGGGCGCTCCGACCGTGCTTCCCTTCCACACCTTCACCTGCCCGCTACCAGCCAAAGAAGTTCGCCTTATCTCGCAGCGGAATGCCCTCCGAATCTCATGCAACACGCTGCGGTCTCCGTGGCTCTCCGGCACGGTCTACCCACCGCCAGCTCCTCCGCGGCCCCAGCTCAACGTCGGCTACATCTCGTCCGACTTTAATAACCATCCTCTGGCTCACTTGATGCAGTCCGTCTTTGGGTTTCATAATCCCACTCGGGCCAAAGCGTTTTGCTACGCAACTACGCCGAGCGACAAGTCTCCCTACCGGGAAAAGATTGAGCGCGACTCGCCGGTCTTCCGGGATGTGACCAACTGGCCCCCAGAGCGCGTGATCCAGCAGATCATCCAGGATGGCATCCACATCCTGGTCAATCTGAACGGATACACCCGTGGTGCCAAGAACGAGATTTTTGCGGCCCGGCCGGCGCCAATTCAGATGGCCTTTATGGGGTTCGCCGGCACGCTAGGCGCTGAATGGTGCGACTACCTCCTTGCCGATACCACGGCAGTCCCACCGTCCACACTGCGGCCCTGGCGTGGCAATGTTAGCGTTGGCGATGTGTTCCGTGACGAGGCCGACGTCGATACGGAGAAGTGGATCTATGCCGAGAACATTATCTACTGCCGCGACACGTTCTTCTGTTGTGACCACAAGCAATTTGCCGATGCCAGCGAGCGTACCGTGACGTGGCAAGACGAGAAGCAGCGGCGTTGGAAGATGCGAAAGGAGATGTTCCCCAGTCTGTCGGACGATGCGATCATTCTCGGGAACTTCAACCAGCTCTACAAGGTACGTGATGTCTTCCAACTTTCTCTGCTGCTCTACCCTTTTCTATCCTTTCACCCCTGGATCTAACGCAGAATGACGACGGGTCGTACTAACAAATATGTCCCCAGATCGATCCGACCACGTTCCGCAGCTGGCTGCGCATTCTCGCTGGCGTGCCCAACGCTGTCCTTTGGCTGCTCAGGTTCCCTGATCTGGGCGAGCCGAACATCCGAAAGACGGCGCTCAAATGGGCAGGCAAGAGTGTCGCAGACCGCATCATCTTCACCGACGTTGCGCCAAAGGCACTGCACATCAACCGGGCCCGTATCTGTGATGTCTTCCTTGACACGCCGGAGTGCAATGCCCACACGACAGCCGCCGACGCGCTATGGTCCAGCACGCCTCTCTTGACCTCGCCGCGCTATGATTACAAGATGTGCTCGCGCATTGGCGCATCAGTCCTCAAGGGCGCGCTGCCCAAAGATGCCGCTGGACAGCAAGCAGCAGCCGAGTTGATTGCCGAGGACGACGACCAGTACGAAAAGATGGCCATCAAACTGGCCAGCGGCATGGCCTACCGCCAAGTCGCTTGCGCCAACGGTGTTGGGACCTATGGCGAAGGCGAGGGTCGTCTTGCCGACCTCCGCAAGATGCTCTGGGACCACAAGTGGGAGTGCGGCCTCTTCGATACTCGCCGATGGGTGAGAGACCTCGAAGATGCCTATACCGAGGCGTGGCGCAAGTGGGCGAACGGCGAGCGCGGGGACATCTACCTCTGAGGCCGTTCACGTTGCCTTTTAGCTCCACCTTCCAGCGACAAAACTTGTGCTTCTGCGATGTTTTTGCGATGCTTTCTTTTTTTGACTTGTTACCATGGGAAATCTCTATTTTTGGTGCAAACCGGAGTTCTCCTCCACTCATGCGGCGCGATTCATTGGACCGGAATTGACGAAAGCGTTTCTTTTATTGGCTCTTGAGAGCGTTTTGGATTTTAGACCTGGGAGATCAGGCTCATCATGTACTGCTTTCTTTTTCTTTTTCTATTTCCTTTGTCCACTTTGCCTCTTTTCCACGGTGGAATAGAGAGACCACAGGCGTCATTATCATGTATACGGCTTTCCTGCAACATTGCCCGGAGCAAAACGGCCACGAATTCATGTCTTTCTCTTTTCTTTTTATTGATACTCTTAGTGTTTGGGGTTTTGGGTCTTCTCTATTTCTTTCTATTTTCCCCCGTTCATATTTCTGCGTTTATTTACTTGGTGTTATCTATGGGTTGTTTTGTCTCATTTGGGAAGACAAAAAGTGGCAACGGTCCAGTTTACCCTCCGACATAGCATAATCAAATTCTGGCAACAGAAAGAGACCAAGCGGACACACCTCTTTTTTTCTTTCTCGGGTCCCCATTTGGACAACATTTACCTTTTTCTCCTATACCGTTTGCTTCGCTCGGAGCATTAATTCAAGTGATTGAGAATAATGCACACTCGGCAGTACGAACATGTTTACAAGCAACACGATACGAGTGCCATTGCTACTACGTCTGACCACTCTTAGAGCAGCCTACGAGAGTTGCATGTGACCTGTTCTGTTGGTCGAAAGTTTTGCGATGTCGTCCCGCAAACGCTGTTGATGCGATGCGGCTCACCGTGGACCCGCTTTTTATACGCAGCTCCCATTGGCACAAACGACACGCACAGCTAGAAAAAGGCAAAAAGCTATCCAAGCAGAACACAACACCAGGCAAAAGACCGGCCCCGCGCGCCACAGCCTTGTAACTAACTCCCTTTATGACACTGCAGCTGTTTTCCGCCTTGTTTCTTTCGCCTTCTCACATTGCGTAGCTTTTCGCGGCTTTTCGCGGCGGGCATCGCGACAGACAATCGACACGCACCCCCACGCCCCCCCCCCCCCCAGCCGAATTGAGTCGTCTGTTTCGCTCTCCCTTCTTGTCACCTTCGACATCGCTTACCAGTGAGTATTCGACAAGCGCGCATGGGAAGCGTCAGCTCCCCCCGATCACGCCCTGTGCACATTTCTGCCTGCTGTCTTGCCAGTCTCTTCTCAGCGCCAGCTAACCTTTGGTCGCCCCCGTCACAGTATTCTTCCCCGGAGTCGTGCGCAACTGACCAGCTTTCCATCTCTTCCATTCTTTCACCCTTTCTCCCTTCCAACCTCTCCGCGCCGACACAGCTGGGCATCACACACAAACTTGTCGCCATGGACGACTTGGACATTGAGATGGAAGATGCCGCGGGGCAGTTCCAGAATGATGCGCCACCGGAAGTCCTACCGCAGGAAGACATCCTCGCAATCGACGCGGACGACGCATACAACCAGGAGCCTGGCGAGATCAACGAGGCCTCTGCGACAACAGCCGCCGACGCAGCAGCAGCAGCAGCCGACGCCACAACACTCGTCCCCACAAAAGTCCACATCCGCGGACTGGACGCCCTGAATCCCGACGACATCAAGGCCTATGTCGCCGAACACTACACCGGCAATGGCGGTAGCAAGGGCCCTTTTGAGCGCATCGAGTGGATCGACGATACGTCTGCCAACCTCTTGTTTTCCTCGGAGGCTGCCGCGGCCACGGCCCTCGCCGCCCTCTCCAGTGTCCAGATTGACGACGTGAGCCAGCTGCCGCTGGGCGAGCTGCTGCCGGCCAAGACCTACTCTGCAAAGCCCGACGACGTCTCGGGCGGTCTGTCGGTCCGCTTCGCGCTCGCCTCCGACAAGAAGCAGAGCGGCGCCGCGCTGCGCAGCCGCTTCTACCTCCTGCATCCCGAATACGACCCCGAAGAGCGCCGGCGGAACCAGCAATCCAACCGGCGGCGCGACGGCGGCCGCTCCGACCGGTCGCACCGCTCCTACCGCTCCGACCGCCAAGACGACCGCGAAAACGACATCCGCAACAACTCATTTGACGTGAACCTGTACGATGACGACGAACCCTCGCGTCGTGCCCGCCGGCGGTCACGGTCCTACGACTCGCGCACGCGGCGGAGGACGCCGCGGTCGTGGTCGCGCTCTCGGTCCCGGTCGCGTCGCAGCAACAACAAGGATAAGGAATTGTTCCCAGTGGGCGGTACCGCCCGCGGCAAGGAGCTCTTCCCGGAGAAGCTGGGTGTGGAGTCGGATGGCCGTGGTAGAGATCGTGATCGTGGGCGGGAGCGGGAGCGGGAGCGGGGCCGGCTGCGCGACCGGTCGGCATCGCCGCGGCGGGACGACGGCGGCGGATTTTACTACGACGAGGCCGGCGCGGACGACGACGACTACGATGGCCGGTTGGCCGACGAGCGGGCCGAGGCAGACTCGGCTGCCGCTGCACGCAACCGCGACAAGGCACGCTCGATCAAGGACCGCCTGTCAACATCCAAAGGCGACAACAGCAACGGCAATGGCAACAGCTCGCGCGTGCTGTTCCCGGGCGAATCACGCAGCTCAGCGCATATGGACCGGTTTGACGACACAAGCGCAGTGACGAATCGGCTAAGCGGTATGTCGGTATTCTCTTATGATGGTGCATGCCATGGCGACGAAAGAAGTCGGCCCAATGGCGACAGTGACGGCGACCGTGACAGCGACAGTATTGCTGCCCTGGTAGTTCTGCATTCCACAAGGCCAAACGAGGCCGACAAGGGTAGCAGCACCAGTGTCTGCACCCCCGTGTGAGAAAGTAGTCTGACAATCCGGCTAACCCTTTCACAGATCGCATCACGCGGCCCTCCGACGCGTCGTCCAGCAGCACGTTCAACATCCGTGGTCTCGCCGGCAGCAACAACCAGCAGGGCATCAGTATAAAAGGTGTCGCCTCGGCTCGCGAGCTGTTTCCAAACAAATTGAGCAGCGGCGACGGCAACGGCGGTGGTGTTCGGGGTCGCAATGCTGGCAAGGAGGTCTTTGACAACAGCCTGGCCAGCCGTATCCAGCGGCCACGGCAGAGGGCCGAGGACATGTTCCATTGAAGCCAATATGGCCATTACTTTGCTAATGGCTTCTATCGGTTTTTTTTTTTCTTGCAACAAAAAAAGTGGGTGAGGCGTTGCGTAGGGATATTCGGATCAAGTTACTTTTGGGCAAATGGAGGACAACAGCAAACAGAATAATAAAAAACAGCGATTGTATTTTCAACATAACCTTCAAAACAACAGGACAACTCTCGACAATGAACGGGTATCTGATGTCTTATTATTGACGTACTTTGATCAATATTATCGTGCACTCTTTTGTAACGCAGGAACTGCCAAACAGATTTCATGGTAGCTCCTTCCCGACCGCATTCCGTTGCTGTAGACACTTTGATGATGAAAGGGGAAGGCGCGACCATCGCGATTTCCTATCTTGCCTATTGTCCGCCGCATTTGTTGTTGATCTTGCAGCTTTCTTTTTCGTAACCAGTATCGTGTTTCATCCTTTTCGTGTTGTATCGCGATTGCTCGCGATGGTTTTCAAACAACTGAGCTCACGACCGAATAATTTTACAAGCAAACCCAATCAGCCCATCTGCCTTCATGATGTCGGATCTAGGACGTCGTTTAAGCTTCGGAGGATCGAGTGCTAACCGTAACGAGAACACAGCACCCGGGATAAATAGTCCATCAGATGTATCATCGTCTACGCAGGAGACACGATTGGAGAGACGGTCCTTTGCGACGAGGCGGGTGGCAGAACCGAGAGAACACTTGCACTCGTTCGAGGGCCATCCAGGTGAGCGCTCGGCTCTTCTTCCATCGCTGCTCTCCCGTCCACCGACCTCGCCCATTTATGATGGAACGGATCAGCCCTACATAGGAGACGCAAAACAAGCAACCGTACAAGCCAAGGCCCGGGCGATAGTAAGCAGCAGACAGGCCTCGCTGTCGCCGAGATCGCCCATCGCTGCGGAGGCCATCGGTGCCCATCGAGCCAGCCGGCCCCGTGCACTCTTTAGGGCGTCCAGCTTTCTCAATCTGCGAAGCAACAGCAGCTTTGGCTCCAGCACAAGCGGTACTTGTGCATCACAGGCAAGGAAACGAGAGGATGGAGATGATCAATCGTGGACGCCGAATCCACAGAGTCCCCGTGAAACAGCACCGTCGGGGAAGCCATGGTTTGAGTTTGGTGTCCTTGGCAGACGCGTCAGCTCAAGAGCAGCCAGCAACAAGAGTGACGGTCATGAACCCGACCGAGATCGGGTCACCGAGGCTGGCGGCCAACACAACACATCGGCAGCAGAGTCCAGTCCAAAAGCGCCTCCAAGAGCAGCCCACGCAGCCAAGCAGCATGACTGGAAACAATGGGATCGTGAGGCCGATGCCAAGCTCTCTCGTCTCGTAAACGAGTCCGATCTCACCTGGCATCGGCCCTCGTTTAAGCAGATTATTGAGTCTCTGCATCTGGCCTCCATGTCGAACGAGACTGTGCCCACAATCCCAAAGATGGATTGGCAATCAGCTCAGGCACTGTCATCCAAACGACGGCCAGATTTGCCTCCTCTTCCTTCCCCGAAAATGGTCAACCTGGACCACCCAATCCCGGGACGCTACCGGAGCCACATTACACAGGCCATTGAAGGCTTTCAAGATATGCAATACACCCTAGACATGACCAAAACTCGACTGGATGAAGCCCGCGAGGCTCAGGAGCGGGATCTGGACCTGTTCGCAGATCTCAGCAAGGAGTGGGCCGCTCGTGAAGAGCATTTTACAGCTGAGATACGACGCCTACGATACTCCCTCGCAGTGGCAGGTGTGGCGGAACAAGCACGAGGCGCGGACGGAAGACGCGATACATCGCATGGGGCCGAGCAAAGTACGCTCGATGTCCCGGCTCCGGATGACTCGATATCAGCCTCTTTTCATGACCGTGTCAAAGAATCAATTGCGGTCTCGTCATCCAGAGCAAAACCCTTGACTTTGTCTCCGTCTCCAGTGGAAAAGATTGATGTATTTGGTGCGTATTTCACATCACTGCGTCTGCGAGCTTCGCTTTTTTATTCTAACCAGCGGCGTAACAACAGGCAAGGGTCGGTCACTTCCAGCGCTCATCGACAATGACCACGATAAACTCATAAGTGACGAGGTTTTACGTGCCGTGGCGAAAGAAAGGCTCAATCATTGCAGCCGACAGTCTCGCCGGCATAGGCCAGGCGCAGGAGGCATGCTGGCTGCGCAGAATGATCTACCGGGATTCAACCAAAAAGCAATCGACACGATCACAAAAAAATCCCATCGGAACGAGTCAGGTCGGAGAACTGCGGATGTTCGCAGCCACGAGACAAGCAAGAAGAAGAAAAGGATGGCTACGAAGCCGAACAGAACAGGAGATGGCGCTGTGCCCATCGAAAGAGCAACCTCCGTAAGCGATCAAAGGCAAAGGGTCGAAGCATATACTGTGGCAGCCTCCAATGCGCTCCCAGTGTCGAGCGGCTCGTCGTCCTCGACCTCAAGCTCGGACGAGGACCTGGTCATGTATGAGTACAACAAGGCTCGGTCTTCATCACACAGTGCGAACGGTGAGGATGAAGCTCAAAACGGAGGCAACGAAGGACCAGCATTTCTGGACCAATCCGAGCAGGCAGGATCAAGAGGACAGGCAGGGCACGCAGAACCACCAGAGCACGCCGCTGCTGGACAGGGCCTTCAGCAGCACATTACGAACGCCCAGGGAATTGAACTCACGACACAACTGGTAGCAGGAGACTCTACCAGCTTCACTGAGACTATTGTTGCAACCGACAATAGCGCGTTTGATTCTGGCGGTAAATTTGTGCAACAGCCTGTTGAGCGAGCGAGTTCTTTCTAGCTCGCATTTCCATGACTTAAGTACCAACAGACAGGCCGTGGCACGAATGGGGAAACAACGCCTTCTTCTCCGCAGTAGCATTTTAGCTTTTGCCTCGAATGAATGCCCATGGAGAATTATTTGGCCATGTGCCCATATTATCGAAGACTGCAAGAAGTTCGGAAGGCCGCCATCCGGGCGCTTGGTGACCGTTGGGAGCACGGATAGCACCGGCCGAAGGCAAAAATCAGCTTAGATGGGTATGAAGCCAGCAAGCTTCGTTAGGCCCGGCTGTTTCCCGGCTCTCCTCCGCAAATCCAACAGAGCATCCCCGACCTAGGCATCCCTACTTAGTGAGCAACATGTTTGTGCTTCGTCGCGTTTCACCCGTTTGGTCCATTCACAGCCCCGAGGCAGGCCAGCATCGTTAACATCGTTCGCGCCCAATACTTCTTGTATTAGTTAGTACGAGGCCATGAAGTTCAGATCAAGAGATCAGGAGACATTATGTTCTGTCTCGCCTTCGGCAGCCCTTGGAGCTGGAGCCAACGGGCAGCGTGACTATATCTACGGCTGACCTCGTCGTTGTAAAAGAGAAAAACGGCTTTCTCAGAACAACGAATTCGCCCTTGATACTTCGAACACGCCGGGAGGGTGTTGGTTCAACGACTTTTGAAATGGAGATGGGATAGGGGGCCGGCTCTTGGACCATCGTAATTGTGTTCCCGGAAAAGTTAAAAGAACTGGTTTGTCTTGGATGACAAAGTTATGATGTGCAGGTGCACTTCGGTGTATGCCATATTGCCCCGTTCTGGACCCCGTTCGCATGCGTCGCAGTGTCGAATAAGCCAGTCCAGCCTTTCGCCGAAGAAGAGGAGTCTAGCTATTGATATCGACAATCCTCTCCCTCTCGTTCATCCGCCTCCTCTCGTCTTTACCTCTTTGTCCTCTTTTCTCGCCCCCTCTCCCCCCTTTTTGCGGCTACTATCTCACGATCGCAGGTCAGGTCATCTCGCTTATCAGGGCCAAATGTCATAGGCAGGAGAAATTTGACGGCATTCTTCTCCGTCGACAAGCGCCATTCACTGTCGTGCAGTAGCACGTCGCAGTATTCAACGGGCGTTGCTTTGCCGCTGGGTTTTGTGTAGGTTTGAGGCTGTGGTGTACTCCGTACTGCAGTCAGTCTGCTCAGTAGTCTGTTTGTCAGCATTCGTCCTACCAGCAAAGGAAAAAGCGGACTGAGACTTGTCTAGCAAAGATGTCGTCGATCGTCAGGACACGATCTACCTTTTGTTTCTCTTTTCGGAATCCCCGGTGCTGAGAGGTCCTCTGGAATAAAGTTGGCATATGGAGGAACTAAGTAGTAAATGTCTCTGAAGATCACAAGATCGCAACGGGTCAACGGGTGTACGTGTAGAAACGACACACCGTGTGTAAATGGAATGTAAATCAAACGGCACCCAGCTCGGTTTTGTCCACTTTGTCGATCCGCCGTTTGAATGTTGACGGATGACATTTCAATGAGAAGGCAAACAAGTAAGGTGGTTTGCAGGCGTACATACATCGTAGAAGTAGCGGATCGCCCCAAAGATCACCGTCGTTTTTGGTCTCTTAGGCCCAGTCTCCAAGAATCCCCGTTCCCTGTCTTCAGCTGGCTTTGCTCGGCGGTTCTTTTTCCATTGTGTCTCCTGGAACACGAAAAGAAGAAAAAGAAGAAAAAGACGATACGGAAAACGGAAAATGGGAATTGGCTGCCTTACAAAGAGGGGAACTGATCGCGCCAGTCCACAAAACAGTAACTGGTTCCGGAGAAACAAAATTGAAGAGACAATCCTTGACCCAACCGGTGCCAATCACACAAAGCAAGTCTAACAGTCTGGAATCTACCAAACCAATACAATGTACGTGCGGCTCCGGCCCCCGCCTTGTCGGCAATTGGCGCACATACGTCGTGTTCTCGATCTCGGGTGTTGCCCACGGGTAGGATCGTGATGACTATACGGTATATGTGGACGGGTACAAAACATGCACGCCGTACGGCCACCACGGGCAATTGACGTATGTCCATACAGCGTGCGTCGTTCATAGTCGCCCCAGTGGTCCGTATGGCTTCGCTTTCTCTTCCCGCCGTCACACAAATCACACGGTCTCCCGTGTCCTACATTCCTTGTCCTACGTCCTATACCGACAGGACAGGGCCAGTTGCCATGTCCGTGGGATACGTCAATTGGGGCCAGAGACAGACCGAGTGGCGAGAATAGATTAAGGAGATGTTTTGGACTTGGACGTGTGTGCGGGATATTTTGTACAGTCAAGACAATCGACGAGGCACTGGCAAAGACAAGGAAGAAACAGCCGAGTGCAAGAGAGCCGAGAAAGGCATTGGCTCTGGGTACGAGCCGGATGCATAGGAGTTGTCTGGACGGCGTAATTGCGTCGCCATGTTCGAACATGCGCCAGACGACGCCTTTTGCCTTTTTGCCTGCACCTTAACAAGGCATCAACGGAAAATTCCGTTCACCGTGTGCATGTGCCGTCGTGCATTGTCTTCCAAGGCCTTGTTGTACATGTACATGTGCTCCATTTCCGTATACTACGGACAATGCTGTGAGTACGTGTTGTGGACGATTGTCAAAGAGACAAGGACAGCATGTATAAAAACAGCCTCTCCAAGTCGCCAACAATCCATGGCACACCACCTACAGAATACTCTGTGCCCCCCCCGTAAGCACTTGGTACAATGGAAAACGGTCACCACAGAGCACAGGCCACAGGCCAAGTAAGATACAACCACACAATACCGGAGACACAATCACAAAGGAAAGAGCAGGAGAAAAGACACTTGCGGCCCCGATATGTAGTGCCACGTCGGGCAGCGTAGAAAGAAAGAAACAAAGGTGGGACAACACAAAGACACGCAGCCAAATGGTCGGAGCCTTGCACAACCTCAAAGCAAGCCGGGAGTAACCCGTGCTGTTTGGTGCTGTTGTGTGATCATGTTGTGCGACTGGGGACGCTGACCGGTTTTTGGTCGTATACTTTATTCGCACACCGACAGCCACAAGTCAGAGTTCCCGAGCGTCCAGTCCCGAAGAAATGGATAGCCCGCGTTCAGCCTGTTGTGCAATGCTCCTCGGCTTTCTGCTTTTTCACGTTTCGTCTGTTGTTCCTTTGTTTTTGGTGCCCCAAAGCATGCCCCAAAGCTGGCGGTGAATCGCACTGGTGCTTCAATACTTTTTTCACTCCTCAGCCGTCCTCCGCACATTGCGACCCCGATTGCTGCATACGGTCCTCTGCTCTCACTGGTTCCCAAGAAACGAAAAAGAAGGCTAAACAAGAGGCAAACGAGCGACAGGGGGGTTTGGGGGGGTGGAGGGGAGGGGGGGAGGGGGGCGTGAAACGGCTGGGCACATCAGCACAGATCGACCCCTGTCGAACAGCCCAACGCCGAGAAACTCTTCAAGGCCATCCTTGTCCTCCTCGGCCATCCTTGTCCTGAACCCTTAGGGACCCCACTCCACCTTTCAGCTTTTCTCAGTTATTGCGCCCGTTCGCGAGGTCGGCGAACAGTGTGGGGCAGCAAGCACTGGCCGTTCGAAACATCCTTGTCTAGCGGGGAATCAACCGGGGTGTGTGAGAGAGGTGGTGTGGTCATGAACTTTTTGAAGTCGAAGAGTCTGAAAGTAGGAGAGATGCGAGGTGAACGGGAGCAACGTACATGTAGGGGCGGGAGAAAGAAGATGAACAACGTCAAAACCAAAGTAACGGGAAAACAAAACCAGAAAGTCGAAAACATATTGGGAACCGGGTGGGAGTGGACGGGTTGATGGTCACGGCAACAATAGCAGCAGTGCAGAGAATTCGAGTGAGACCAAGAAAAAAAAACAGAGAAAAAAAAGAAGAAGCAATGTGCGACAAATGACGATATGCAGTGTATGCATCATTCGGGGCTTCGCGGCTGCCTTATGCATTTACACAAGTGACAAGTGATCACGAGAAACGGCGCGAGGGGTGTCCCTACGAGAAACAAAAACAGTGATGCTGGCAGCCGGGGGACCCACCTACAGCGCATCCTTGCCATCGGGACGAGCATCACCCGCTAACAGCCAGAGGGGACCACCCAGAACTTAGCGGTATGTATGGCGTACATACTATCCAAGAACCGGAATTATGTGCACTCCTTCCACACCCAAAATATCCTGTGCCAAATGGGGCAGTTATGGGCAAATGGGCGAATGGGCTTTCACGGGAGGGAAAGAGCATCCTTTGGGATGGGATCTCTAGCGCGCTTTACTCGATACGGAGAATCGCCGTCGTCGGGAGCGCCAAACAACTCGCAGTACGACATACGAAGGACAACATACAGCTCACTTGAAGGGAGCGAAATGAAGATTCGACGCGAAAAAGGCCCGCTTGCAAAACAATGAAACGGCAAGGGAGAAAGTGCAAGGTGACTTGAGATGATTCAGCCTTTGCTGTACGAAAAAGAAAAGAAAAAGGAAATAAAGGTAATAGGAATGAAAAATAAGAAACGAAGAAACAAGAGGACAACAGACAGAACAACAAAAACGGCAAAAACAGCTGAACAACAGGATTGCCATCATTGAACCATCATCTGTGGGGTCGGAGAGACAGACAAACGAACCCGATGCGGCCACCAAGAATCCAGAGATCCGCGCCCGTCAATGTAGTGCGTAGTACGACATGTTACTGCGTATGTGTACGAAAAACGGAGTATTGCACACATGCAATGGCGCTGTCTTGCCCTTGGTTTTGTTTTGAATTCATCTATCTCTTCGCCGAAGGGAATTGCAAGAGGGGCCAAGACAGGCGAGAGATTTGAGACATGTTCGAAAAGAAAAGTACGGCTGTAAAAGCATGGAGAATGTAGGCGTAGGGAGAAAAAGAAAAGTAAAAAAAAACACGGACCGGCCTACTGCCATTGGGAAACAGACACTGTTAGCTGACTGACGGTGTTCGTGTGTCCGTTGTAGATCGGTTCAATAAAGAAAGGCTACTCACTACCGCAACCAGATGAGCGACAGGTACAAGTCAGATCAGTCCAGGGCGATCATCGTCTCCGCATTGTTAAAAAGGAGGAAACGGTAGTGCGGGAAGGAATGAAAAGCAATCTCGATTGCTTTTTGTCGAGGGAGAGACAAGTTCGAACGATAGTCATCGATTTCGTCTAAACTGTTAAATTACTAAACCGTTACCAACGGAACAGGAGGAACATTCACAAAGGAGCCAAAGATTAAATTCAAAAAGCTCACAAGACTTCAAAGGGATGTCAAAATGTTCAAAAGCGGCAAGCAAAATATATTCCAAGAGTATATTTCCAAAAAAGAGGGAAACGTAAAACGAATTTTCCCTTGACAAACGCCGGCTGTGTGTGGGTGGTGTCCATCCCATCCGAATGCTGTACATGCCTCTCGTACCCCCCCGTTTTGACCCCCGAAAACCATCCTGTTGTATGTGCTTCCCAATTCTGGTTTTCCCGCAAAGCAGCTCAACTCGGTTGACAAACTCGATTGAAAGGCACGACAAAAAGCAAAACCAAAACGCCATGAAGCTCTCGTGAAAAGGAAAGACCACCAAAAATCACCCCAAGACCCCAAAACCAAAAAGTGTATAGTGGTCATGACCTTGACCACGGGTATATGTGAATGGGTCCGTCCACCCCCGGGAATCCATGAGAAAAACCAAAAATAGGATCGAGGGGAAAATATAAAGGTATAAGTAGTAAAAGTGTACAAGAAAAGTAAAAACGGGTGGAAATAAAAAAGACAAGGTAGAAAGGCCTGGCAAAGGACGTCCAGGTACCATAGACGTTGGATAACAAGGCGCACGACTGTTTTCATCGTTTCAAGTTTCCGTTTTTTCCTGTCGTCTGCTGTGCCTCGCCTAGAGGTTGAGCATGCTGTTCAGGTCCATGGCACGTCCGCTGCTGCTGGGCCGACCAGGCAAGACGGACGGCTCCATGGGGACAGGCGGCGGCAAGCGCGGCTTCTGGATCTGCGGCTGCGGGAGCGGCAGGTACTGGTACTGCTCGTCCGAGCGGCTGCTCCAGGAGCGAACCATGGATGACGAAGACCGGCGGTAGCGGAGGCTGTGGAGATTGTGGGCGGCCATTTCCTTCTCGGCTATGGCGTTGGGTGCGGGCAGAGTCGACATGGGCGGGATGGCCGAGTTGGGCGAAGCGGGTGCGTGCGTGGGCGACTCGCGGGCGGACGGGGGCGACCCAGCATCCGAAATCAGCGACGGGACGTAGTGGTGCTCGGTGGCGTCGCTGCGGGGCGAGCCAACGGTGGTGTAGGCGGAGTTGCGGCGGTCCGAGAAACGCTGCTGCTGCTGCTGCTGCTGCTGAAAGTGCGAGTGCGAGAACGGGGCGTTGGTGCTGCTGTGCAAGGCCATTGGCGGCTGCTGATAGTACGGGTTCGGCCAGGAGCAGTCGTGGCTGCGGTCACGGGCAAGGGCGTCCTGCAGTGGCGGTAGCTGGGGACCGGCGGAGGGGCTGCGGTCATGGGCGGCATGGCGGGGGTACGCCGAGTAGTGGTGAGAAGTGTGGGAGGCGTGAGAGGCGTGAGCGGCGTAGCCGTAGTCGCCGTTGACGGGTGTCGTGGGCGTAGCCTGGCCGTTTACGGGCGGAGGCAGCTCACGCTGCGGCTGGCTCAAGTTCAGTGGTGCCGGAGGCACCGCGCGGCCTCGTGTCGAGGACTGCCGTTGCTGGCGAGCAGCGGTGCGCTTCTGGACGGGTTAGTTACACTGTTACAGTCGTTCGAGAAACACTGCAAATTGTTGTCACAGCCGTCATCGGTCGTCATCGTCGTCTTCACTAACCTGACGGTTGCGGGTACCGTTGTACCAGTTCTTGACCGCGTTGTCGCTGCGGTTGCCGATGCCCTCGTCGTGGAGGCGTCGGGCGATTTCAGCCCATTTCTGGCCGATCTTGTCGACCCAGGCGGTGATGAAGGCGCACTCGGGTGGAGTCATGGGGCCGTGGTCGATGTCGGGACGCAAATTCTGAACCCAGCGTTCGCGGCACTGCTTGGCGGAGCGGCCGTGCATGATTTGAGAAATGGCGGACCAGTTGCATGTGCAGGCTTCGACGAGGTGGCGGAGCTGGTTGTCCTCGGCCTCGGACCACGAGCCCTTTATGACGTCCTGCCCTCTTCTTGCGAGTCTCGACATGTTGGCGGTCGTGTGAGGAGAGAGGAGTGGGAGAGAGAGAGAGAGAGGGAGGCGGTGACAAAAATAAGAAATAGCTACAACGGGGGAGTTGCTGACCGTTGTTGTCGACGATGGATAACTTGATATGTTGTCGAGGTTGTATGTTGTAATGTGTTGTAAACAGATACAAAATAACAAGAGAGAGAGAAAAGAGGAAGTTGACAGAAATTGTGAGGAGGGGGAGGAGATAAATACGGAATATAAAGAAAGATGTTGGTGGGTATGGTAAAAGGTGAGAAATGAGAAGAGGGAATAAGGAAGGAGCGAGTAAGAACGACAGGCAGGTGGGAGGGGGCAGATGTTATTAAGGTTTTTATGGGGAAGGCACGACAGAGCGAGATGGACTTTGGTCGTTTTCAGATCCAAACACAAGGAAGGAACCAGGGAGTGAGTGATGTAGTTTGTCGTAATGTGTGTGCACAGCAGTGGATTAGTGACTGCGAGAGGGCGGGCTGGCTACGGAATAAAGAAGCTTTGGGCCAAAATGCACAGGGCAGCTAGTGGTGCGTATCAACCCAGACCGTTCGTTGGGGGGGGGGGGTGTAAAGTAAATAAAGTACGACGTAACTCCCAGTGTGTGTGGGAAGAGGTGTGGGCCAGTGAACGTGAATAGTGGACAGGGCCCAGGCCTTGGGGCGGGTATGAACAGGGCCAAAAAGGAAAGAAGAAAAGAATTCCAGAGACAGCAGGCGCAAAGCGGAAGAGACACGGGGGAAGGGGGGGGGGGGCGTGGACAAGAGTCATGGACGGAACTAGGGTGGGTATGCGATCAGCGGAGGGGAGTGAACAAGCAGGCAGGAGCTAGGGGCTAGGGATGAGCAAGATGGGGTTTTCGGCGGATTGGCGTAGAAACAACGAAGAACGAGCGCTAGGTCCCAGCAGTCCCAGCGGGCTGTTCCCCCTGTAGTGCCTAGCGTAGCGCCATGGCAGCGAGAACAACCGAGAAAACGTCCATCATTCAGCTGTCCTCTGCAGCCCAAATTGATAGCAAGGCATTCTGCCCCCGGCAGGCGTAGCGGGACGACCTTGTGAGGTCTGAATACGGAGTACTTGTGTATGCTTGGTGTTCTTGGTATTCTGGGATGCGACGTTCATTTCTGATCCGGGTGGATGGGCCAGCAAATCGAAGTACATCGTAGGCAAAGAAGTCAACGGATATCAAACGGCAGATGATGCAGCACGCAAGATCCCAAGGAGGGGGCTGCCCTACGAACGCAAGGCAGAAGGGCAAGCCGTTCTGGTCAAACCGATCCATCTACTCAGCATGTCTTGTGGTCAGTTCAGGCAACGTCTGCATAACGGCGCCATCAATGGCAACCGCCAACATATCTATGTGTCAGACACAGAGTTCAGAGTACGACTACTTCGTAGTAGTGTACGGATTTCGTACGTCCAACAGTCATACACTGTGCACGTGTCGTCCGTCTCGGCCTTCTCTTCCATGTCCATCCTGTCGGTCTGCCAAACGGGCGATGCCTTTACGAGGTGGAAGACGATGTACTCAGTGGCTGGACTGGTTGACTGGTTGTTGTGTCGGCAGGGAACAGGCCGTTTGGAGGCTGTAGTCCCGAGGCCATGGCCGAAGGTTTTTTTATTTTATTCATTTGATTTGACGTTATTTTTTTTGTTCATTTCATGAAATACCGGGCACATGCAATATGAATTTCTGCATCTTCTTCATTGTCGGTAAGCAAGGGCTGGATGCATCTCCGTGCTGCCATCGGCCGTCCGCCGCAGCCCTGTCCTTGTGAGGGACGAATGGAGATTAAAAAACGGAGTAAAAAATACAGAGTACTGTCTTACAGAGCAAATTACAGAGTACATCGATGGAAACGGAGGAAAACGGAGACGCCAGAAGGAGCAGAAAGTAAACCAACTTGACAGGCCAAATTGGCCAAGTGGCCAATGAACTTACAGCGTTCGTAGCCCAGAAAATAAACTGTGAGAAAAAGGCCAACATAACAGGTTCTGAACTTACTAAATCATGACCGAGTGCCAGCTTTGAAGGACAAACTTAAAACCTCTCCCGAAGTCGCACGAAGGCGGGTTTTGTCTCGTCATCTCGGGCCTTATATGTGGCTATTCAATTTTGTATCTTGCACATGTTACCTTGCAGGCTTGCCTTTCGTCTCTCTGGTTTCCGGGCCGCAAGATGCGGGTGGTAGGATTTCATGTGGTATTGCTCCAGACATATGCAAAAGGCTAGGGCCTTCATCGTTGCTGCACGGCATGGCCGTCCCATCCGTCATGTTAGTGCGCCAACGGGCTGCCTCTTTTTAACTCCTTAGTGTATCCTGCAAAGGTACTCCGTTCGCTAGACCTGTTGGAAAGGCCTATGTGCATGTACGAATTACTGCCGAGAAATAAGAAGCAAAAAAAAATGCAAAGGAATGAGAAAACACGAAAACACGAGCACTGAAGCCATCCACACAGTCTTGCGTCTTCCATGGCATCGACCTGAGCTGCAGTTCACAAGGTTGCATTTCTCGCGTTGGAGCGGCTGAAGGTAAATGAAGAGGACGGCGACACCTGGTAAAGAAAAGAAAGTAAAATGGGAATAACCTAAAGAAGAAAAAAAAATCAAAAAGGCAAGTTCATCTCCAAAAACGGCGCCATACTGCGCGCATGTTTTTAGGCCTTTGAGACAAAGATAAACTCTATCGATCGGACATTTGTGCAGCAAGACAGCGGCCAGGGTTGGGGTTCGGCCTTGTTGCATTCGTTTCCGGTTGTCCAGCTTGTCCAGCTTGCAGAAACCGTATAACACCTCAACTAGGAAAAGAGAGGCGAAAGGAGTTTTACGTCGTATTTTGTACTGCCCTTGTTTGGTTTTCTTATTTGTTATTTGTTATTTCTTTATTCTTATCTCATACATCAAGTTTTTTTCTCCTGTTCGTTTAATGCCGGCTGGGTTTCTCGGCGGTCCAGCGGAAGGAAAATGGAGGAAGATGGGCGCGTAAAAACAAAGGACCATGCATCATCGCCAGTGGACATTGCAAAACGGCGGGGGCAGAGAGGAGAAAAAGCAAACAACGAAATAGTAAACAACGAAATTGAACAAATGCCTAACCAACGTACCAAAATACCGCCGGACAAGACCCAGCCCAAGAAAAGGGAGAGTTTCGGCGTAATATCAAATCGTCCCGCCGTCCCGTGTCTGTCTTGGTCTGGCTTTCTCGATCTGTTTTTGCCTTTGCTCCGATCGTCATTGATCTACGCCGCTCTACCAACGCCAGGCCCGTTCGACGCAGTGGGCAGGCCCCGTCTCAGTCTAGCCAGTGCCCACCAAATTAATGTAGACGGCAAAAAAGTACTCTTTAAATGCTGCGCAATTACGCCGTACCCTGCTCGTCTCTCATCTCGCGCGCTTCCGCAAACAGAATTAAGCAGATCACGATTCCGATCGGCCGTTGTTCCGGGGAAGACAAATGTTTCACAAATGTCATTGCTTGTCAGAGAGAACGGGCGTGGGTCGATAACAAAAGGTGAGAACCGATTATTGTGTAAAAGCACGAACAACTCAGCGCGCCATACAAAGTCATTCCAGAGAATGTCGTACACAGTCAGGAAACAGCGGCAATACTCGACGATCTACCGTTCATTGTCCCAGTCCTGGAACTAGAGTGAACCCGACAGACAATGGTGTCGAATCCGTTACAGCCGTTTAGTGCCCATGACTGCTTGCATGGTGGCCCAGCTAGAAAAAGGCAGTGCCAAGTGGAAGTGCGAGAGCAAACCTCGTTGCCCATTAGCGCACAAGACGACAAAGGAGAGCAGAAAGGGAATTCAAGAAATTGTCGTTTGGGTGATTGAAGGGACAATGAGAAACGCGAAAATGGAACATGAGCCAATATATGAGAAAATAGAAAATGGGAATGGGAAATGAGAAATAAGAAAATAAATACATCGAGAACATAAAAACCACAAATGCACATACAGTGTTCAGACCCGCCGAGGAAGTGAGGAAAATAAACGAAAAGAAAGAAAATAAGTGGCGAGCGACCGAGATGAAAGAGAACAAGAACGCGTGACAAACTACCTGCTTGGGAGCTGACGGGACATGATCAAGTCACAGAAGGAAGCAAATACGAAGGCGAGGCGACAAAAACTGAGCAGTCACAAAAAACAGTGAACTGCAAATTTGTGAAAAGTGAGATTGCACTGCTGCCAAGCACAGTAAGATACGTCCGATTAGGGGTGTTCCTCTGACAAAGGATGCATGTCGCGCTCCGTCGGGTCTTGCATTTTATTTCTTTTTCTGAGCCATGTCTCCGATCTCCATCGACACATCCCGTCGCCGTTGTCCGTTGCTGGTTGCTGCGATTGATCATATATCATACGAGACAGAGGAAAAAGTAATACCCGACAATGTAAAAAAGAGAAAAAAAAGAAAGAAAGAAATAAGTAAAGAAAAAAGGAAATGCAAAAGGCCAACACCAGAAGACAGAACGTGTTTTTCCACGTCCAGGGCGTCTATTGTCCGTTTTAAAAGGCACCTTGCAGACATCTCCGCCCATGAGCTAATATGCCAACGCAAATAGCCGCCGATATGCTCAACGTCGTCTGTGCTGCGTACGGAGAAGCAGATAAAAAGGCGTTTGAGAATGGCGACTGGTATGATAGACTATGGTGACAAATTGACCAAAAAAAGAGGTCAGCGCGCAAGTCAGCCGGATGTAAATAAGTCGTCTTGTTTCTTTTCTGTCAGCGACATAGTTTCGAAAAGGCGACACAGAACGCAGGTAAAACAGCAGAGACCACACGACATCGCCATGCCGACGGGTGCGCACAAAGTTTCTGTCACATTCGTCGTCGGTGTCCATGCGGACAACCCTCTCTCTTTGTCCTTTTTGAACCTCCATATTACCCATTTGCCTGTGACACAATGGTGCCGCGGCATTTTACAGCAGAGCCCTGGCACCGTTTAGTTATTGTTATTTCGCGCCGGGGCCAACAAGAAA